AAAAAAAAAAAAAAAAAAAAGAAAGTAGAGGAGAGGGCAACCAGTAAAGGTGATTCTCCTACCTCCTAGGAGTCACCCTGAAAATGACCCTGATGTGGCATGAACCACCAGAGCCAACCTGCCCCCAGTGGCCTTTGAGACCTCTCATCTCATCAGGCACAGGAGGACACCACATCTACGCATACCAAGAAGGGAAAACCCATCATATGAAGTGAAAAGAAACACTAAGGGAGATCAGTCTTTAGTTAAAAGGCTAAGAACACTGTTAACTCTGTCCCTAAAGCCTCTAACTAAACATGAAAAAACATTTGGGCTGTAGCAGCTGTGTCTACTGATGGCAAACTTTAAAGTCCTTTTCTTGGAAATGACCACACAAGTCAGTTATGAAACAGTGGCTAATACAGCGACATCTTCAATTACCAATTTACAAAAATCCCATTCATGCCCAGGTTTTTAGATTACGGGAGCCACTGGAGCCAATTTCTATCTGTCATAGCACCTGGGAAACTACTAACATCATCTAACAATTCATAGATAATTAATAGGTTACAGCAAATTAAAGCATTTCCCAGCCCAGATTCATAACTACACACACCCCACCTACCTCAGCTTATTGTTCCTGTTTTCTCATGGAGGCCAGCCAATCATCCCAAACGTATTTAGCTTCTTAAAGTCAGAAACCCATACAAACATGCAGTTTATAGAGCTACAATTTTTTCTGTTCTTGCGATTTGTAACCAGATAAACAATGCTGATCTCGGCTTTTTGTCTGGGTCTATTCATGGATAATGGTGAAAGAAAACATACAAATCTAGAACCTAAACAAGTTTATCAACATCAGCATTTCAATCATTCTATACTTCCTCTCTGTTAAATGTGTTTCTAATAACCAAGTCCTAAGGATGTTGAAATCGGAGGTACCTTTAGGTGTTCAAGGTCAGCCTCTATCTTACGAATGTACTCCATGATCTGGCTTTGTGAATCTGCATAAGGTGGGGGACTCTGGATCTCAAAACAGGAATCCTCCATAGCTCCCCAGCGCTGCTGGACCAGGAATTCTGGGGTGAACGGTGAAACTGCCCCCTCAGAATTAGCATTCTGGGGAGAATGTTGCTGCTGGTGAGTAGAGTCCATAGAAGGGATGCCTGTTATGGGTTGCAAGGGAAGCGAGGAAGCAACCTCCTCATCTGTAGAGCTCTCCTGCACTGTTTCATAGCCATCAAGGATCAAATATTTTCCTGTTGACAGAGAGAACAGTTTGACGAGATTAGTACTGCCATCATCCCATCAGAAAACAGAGATGGGGGGATATGCTGACAACTTTCAAAGCTATTAAAGAGGGAAAAAAGTCATTAATTTCCAAATTCCCAAGTTGAGTTTTAAGTACATCAGAATTTTCTCGCTTCTGGTTAAAGTTACACTTAGCAAACTTTCATGGTAATTTACGAATAACTTCATATTAGTTAGCGTTTTCAAAGTTAAAAGTTGAAAACTACAAAGTCCCTATATGATCTTGCCACCACTTCCCCTGCTAAATGCCTCTCTTGCCTCATCTCCTACCATCTTCTCCCTCACCCTGCATTCCTTAACCACAAAAAACTTGCTCTTGCTTTGCAGCCTGTCCACTATTCTCTGCTGGAACACTCCGCTTCCAGGTCTCCACATAGCTTCTTCCCTCACTCCCCTTGGGTCTCTGCTCAAATGCTTCCTCATAAGAGGCCCTCTTCCCCGATCACCTTGTCTGCTCCATTACTCTCTGCCCCTTAGTCTGATTTATTTTTCTTTCTAATTCTTCCTACTACCTGACATCTATTTATCTGTTTACTTATTTACTGTTACTCTTTCCCCTGCTAGCACTTAAGTTGCACAAGAATAGTGGATTTTTCTGTGTTTTAGTCAATGCTGTATCTCCCAGCACCTAGGATGGGGTCCAGCATAGAGCAGATTCAGCAGTTACTTACTGCATGAAAGAATAAATACTACACACACACACACACACACAATGCTTGGATACCTGAACAACATCCATTCTAGCACAAAGGACATCAACACGATCAAAATCAAAGTTTAAATATGAAAGGAACTTGCCTGAGATGCGTGAATTAACATCCTTCTCTTCCTTTTTAACTGGTCCATCACCTTCTGATGGATTATCATCACTATGTGCTTCACGGGCATCAAAAAAGTGCTCTCCACTCTCATCAAGACCCCCTTCTGGCTCTGCAGGAGGCATCTCTGGGGTCATAATCATGTGGTCCATTACTAAAATGTCACTTGCCTGGCTATCTTGGAATGCCAGTACCACTGAATCTTGTGGAGCAGAAGATTCAGCTGAAGTCCGTGGACTGTAACAAGATGAAATGTCACCAGTTCCAGTTCTAAAGGGCATCTGTCCTTCACCAGGATGATAGGCCTTGAGAGTTTCAGAGTTCCGGGTTCCACTGTCTGCCTGCATCCCTGGAGAGGCTGTCCTGTATCTTGGGAAATGTGGCCAGTCGTCCTGAGTGCTCTTCTCAGTCAAACCCAGCTGTTGCACCAGCAACTGCTTCAAAAAACCCACTAAAAGATTCAGGAAGGGGAAAAAAAACACACACATTCACAACTATACCCGCAGACTGCCAGAATTAAGTCAGTCAGTGGAATTATCAATTATGTCTAAAAGTAAGTACCTATTTAGTAGCATAAAGTCAAAATATTAATTTCACATTACCATTTTTTCTTTTGTCTTAAAAAATGAAATAAAGCACCATCTAGAGATTTAATATTAAACTAGACCTGATACCATTTTTTCTTTTGTCTTAAAAAACGAAATAAAGCATCATCTAGAGATTTAATATTAAACTAGACCTGAAAAGATCTAAGCATTCTTAATGGGGAGGTACTCCTATTTAGATCTGGTAAATAACCAATAGCATGCCTGCCTATATTTTTTATTCCATATAACTGGAATAATACCCTAAAGGTACTTCTTAAAACGATGTTGAAAAGCTGTGTTAAGTTAGACAAAAAAATATGAAAGTTCTGCCTTTTCCAGAAGCAGACACTATAGACATAGGCATTATTTTTTCTAATTTTATTAGACACAGAAAATTTGTCATTTATAATAACCCAAAGTATCTCCTTAAATGGTGAAGAAGAAAATAAAACTGCCTTGTAATAAAGCTTAATTCCAATAACCTGGTAGCATGTACAATTTCAAAAGATAAGGAAACATTTATTAGTTTATAAAAAATGACCACACTAGTGGCACAGCTTCCTTAGGTTGTTGAAAATAGAACCAACTTAATTTTTATTTTTTTTGTGAGGAGATCAGCCCTGTGCTAAACATCTGCCAATCCTCCTCTTTTTTTTCTGCTGAGGACTGGCCCTGGGCTAACAACCGTGCCCATCTTCCTCCACTTTATATGGGACACCGCCACAGCATGGCTTGCCAAGCAGTGCGTCGGTGAGCACCTGGGATCCGAACCGGCGAACCCCGCCGGGCCGCCACAGTGGAGCGCGCGCACCCAACCTCTTGTGCCACCAGGCCCGCCCCAGAACCAACTTAATTTTAAATGGGCAAGCGTACTCTATAAGGTCATTCACACAATGATAGAGTTACTGGGACAACGTTAGTCAACTATCAGAAATCATCATGACTATTAATTCGGGAGAATCTAGAATAAACTGGATTTTAAAGAACTTGACCAATTCCTTACTTTCAACTCTGGCTGAACTTCTATGTTCTGTTTCTTTAAGCAAACAGTCTCCATGTAGGTCTGAGTCTCTGCCCTCTATCTTTCTGCTCTACATTGACTTCCTAAGAGATGCTATGAATTCTCATGGCTTTGACACTCAAATCCATCTCTCTCTCTAATCTCTCTCTAAAGGTCCAATCTTAAAACTCCAACTTCCTGCTCATCACTTCTCTTAAATGGCTTGCCATTCATGATCTTAATCTCAATATGTTTTAAAATTGAGCCCATAATCTCTTGCAAATAAAAAAAGGAAAAAATCAAGTGTGGTATGGATAGTGGTGGTCCTTTCTGACTTTTATTTCTTACAAGAATATTGAAATTATCTCTAAATATTGCTTTTCCTTTGCACTCATATCCAAACAGTCAATTGTTTTAAGTGTTTGTTGACTCCTCACTTTTTTATTCCTCTGACGCCATTCTAATCCAAACCCTTTCAGCCTCAAGCCCAGACAACAATAGCTTAATAGTAACTGCATCACTCCAAACCTCTTTCCATTTAAATCCTTTCACAATTCTCAGCCACGTTAATCTTTTTTCATTAGTCATACTCTAGCTTAAAAACTTCAAATGGTTCTCTACAGCTAGAACAATCGTTCTCAGCCTTTTCCCACCTCCAACACACCTGAGAGACGTGATACACTCCCATTTGTAAGAGTGATTCTCAGCCAGGCTGGAGAGGGAGGGGGCAGCTAACAGACTGACAAGGACCACCCATTCTCGTGTGTGTGTGTGCGTGTGTGTGTGTGCGCACGCGCACGCGTGCTCGTGCGTGCGTGCATGAAGCATGGGCCAGGGTGGAGCATGCTACAGTCTTCACAAAAAAAATCAAAAAAATATCTGTAATTTGAAAAAGACCTCAAAACACTGTGATGTGCCATCCTTAAATCTTGGCAGACTCAATCTGGTATTCAAGGTTCACAATAGCTGGGCTCAACAACATGTCTTCTAGCTTTTCAACCTTATCTGCCATGACTCCTTTAACTTATATGGCCTATCCCGGGCCAACTGGTCTTCTCACTGCTATCCGAACATCCTCAGAGTTTTCTGCCTCTGTACTTTGGTCCTACCATTATTCTTGTCTGAATGACTTCTATTCTTCTGCATGCCTATCTGAATCGTATCCATTCTTCGAGGCGCTAATCAAATCTCTCTTGTTTTCTGATACCTCCCTTCCCTGGTCCCCTCCACCAGATCAATTTTGACATACCTGTACTGTTTGTTTACTTTAAAAGGTGGGGGTAGGTTTTCCAACTATATTGTAAAATTCTTGAAGGGAAAAGTCATAGTTTATACTTCTTTGGATTCTCCCCCAAATGGCTACATAGTACATTTACAATTCTGATACTTAATAAGTATCTGTGTTAACTTATGAATAAAACTTACAATTCCTTAGTGCATCCACTGCCCACCGTTCTTCTGAGACAGGCAAGTGTGAATCTGGGATTGTGATTTGATAATTTACTCCAACTTCCTTTAGCACTCCATCTGCATGTTGCTCCTTTGCAAACTGTCTCTCTGCCACAAAGAGATCCTCTACCTCCGATTTCCCAGAGGTACCCAGTGAATGAGATTGAGGTTTTGACGATATTAAGGGAGACTCTAATTCCAAATCTCTGTCTGTTCAATGGAATGGAAAAAGCAGGATATATCTTAAACAAAACTTTTAACTTTATTGTGAAGCATTCAGGAAATACTTGGAAAAAATAACACATAAGCTACAGAGATCATCTGCTAAGCAAAACACCCAGCACTTAGAGTAGTGTTATATGGTACACAGAAGGCTCATAAGCAAAGTCTGTTAAAGGGAATAGCTGATGCCAGAACCTACATAAAGCAAGAGTTAAAGTTTCTTTGTATTTTACTAAGTAATATATAGACTACATTCTTCCAGGTAAACTTAGATCCGTTTACCTGGACTCTGCAGACCAGTGACAGAAATGCCATGATGCTCCACTTTTAATTTTGGAGGTTCTTCTTCATCATTGTCTCCTCTATAGAAGAGAGAAAACAAGCTTTCAGCTTCATGAGGTGCCTAAACATCATTGCAACAAAATGGAAGAATTATCCGTTCCCTTTCTGACCAAAAACACAAAGTCAGTCCCAATACAATGCAAAGGCACACTCACTCGCAAGGAGGGGACTCGGGCAGTGGAATTGGCCTTGTGGATTGCTCCTTCACTGATGCAGCCATCCGACAGATTAGGTCCTGCCAGCTGCAGGAATTTTGAAAAGAATCCAAAATACAAAAGAGAAAGGAAAGAGAAATGCCCTTTAAATACACTCAGAAAGTAAAAATAAAAGCAAAATGGAAACCAAACAAACAAACAAAAAACCCTACCAGATACAATCTTTACTTTGGCAACACACTAGTAAGTAGAGATTATAAAAATTCCATACCTTAAAGAAAAACCTAACAATATTACGGATATACCACCCATTAAAAAGCTTCACCTGACACTTCTGAGAATTTTTTCTCTAGAAAAAATACTTTCAATAGAACAGAATCAAAATTAGAGACATCAATCTAGAGAGGAACAAGTTCTTAGAAGAATATCTCTAAAACAATAAAGAAGAAGTGCTTGTTTCCATAGAGTTTTTGGTTTTCAAAGCCTATTACAAAAACAAAGTTTGTGTAATATTACATTCAGAGTAATAAAAAATATTAGAGTAAGGTAGCTAATACATACACAGTCTTTTCAGAAACTGTCTGTGCCACCAGTTCATAAATTTGGGCTCCGTTATCTGACATGGAGATGACGAATAAAGCTTTGTTATCTGGAAAAAACAAGACAAAAATTACTCTAACAATATGACCTACAGAGGCCATGAAGGATGTTTCTAGGGTCCTGGTATTATTCTGCATCTTAATCTAAGTACAGGTCACATGTGTTCACTTTGTAAAAAGTTCATCAAGCTATACACTTAAAATCTGTGCAACTTATTGTATGTTATACTATATATATTATACTTCAATAAAACAAAGATTATAAAAACTAGTACTGATTCCTCAGTAATTTATTAGAAACAAGGTGTTGATGTATCTAAGTTACTGAATACTATGACTCTTGCATTTATTTTGAATTACTCTTTTGATAAATGGTTAGTTAATAATATTCAGTGGGAACTGGAGAAAAGAGGTCATAAATTTATCTTGCCATCATGGAATTAACAAGTTTTAAAAAGGATATATCAGTATAGTTAATATATAACTGTATTATATTACCATTCTAATCAAAGTCTTTTCATTTGGAATACCTCCCAATTCACTATCTTCATTGGTGTCTATCAATGATTTGAACGTGGAATGAAGATCAAAATAATATGCAGAAAATTTTCAAATGCAGAAAATTACTCAGAGAATCCAGGCATTCTAAATAATTTGGGGTTATAAACTCTCAATTTACTTTCTAAGCAGTAAATAAATTTCATTTAATTTGTATAAGAATATAAAAGGAACAAAACTCTACACCAGTTGTGCTACTTAAACAACACTGAATATCTTATGCAACTTATGATGAACCTGGAGGTTAGCGTCATTCAGTGGACATACTCGCCTGTTGCCACTTGTCGAACCAACACTGTATTCAACTTAATGACAGGGCTAAATGTGTGTTTGCTATCAGCTGTAGATGCCAGAATCTTACTATGACACCTTAACACCAGTCTATCATCCTGCTTTTGTAACAGTACAAGAATGTCGTCCAGCAGCAATGTGTACAGATCTAGAAATAAAAAAGTAGGAAAGGTGATTAGTACAGAAATTGAGATGTGTTTTATAAACTTCATACCAATTCGACAGAGAAAATTTATTTCTGTTAAATCTAGTAAATTTTAAAAATTGACTTGCTATTGTCTTTTTTAATTTCATTTTTTAATAATTCATTCTTATTGTATTACACTAAAGTGTCAGTCTGTGATGGACAAGAAATAAAAAACAATAGTTCCTCACCACAGACATTTTGAGTCGTAGTAGTTTAAAGAAAGCCTAGACTCACTAGAATACTAAATTGATGGAGATAGGACCAAATCATGACCAAGTTTCCTGCTTCATTCCTAAATGAATATTTAACACACTTCACAAATAACAAAATAACATAAGCAAATCTTCTGTAAATGCTTAAATAACATAAAATAGCACTGCTAACTACTGCAACTGAAAACTGTGAATGGTTCTCTCTTCTCTTTAGCATAAAGAAACTTTCCTATTCTTTTCCTTTCTCCACTCTCTCCAAAATTGACAAACATTAGACCTACCAATAGTTTTATCTCTATTCACCTTCCAAACCAATGGCCCTTCATGAATCATCTTCCTTTTTGTTAAATCCAAATTCTGCCAAAATAAAGAGAATTACACACAAATTATTTCTAAGCACTTAGTGAGATGATATTCCATACAGTTTCTTTTTAAGAAATTCTTAATATAAAAGATACCCTTTGCATTTACTGTCATTATTGATATCTGTCAACTACTGAAAATGGAATACAGACCAAGTTAAATTTAAAGCAAGCTGCATAAAACTTTCTAAAAGGGAAAAGGTATCTTGCAGAAAAACATTCAGGAGTATTGTCTTCTAAATCTCACTCTAAACAGACGATAGTAGCTTATGAAAATGAAGCTGCACACGTAGCCACTAGATTCTCAACCCATCCCTTAATTTTTTAATGAATAACTAGACACAGCTTATGATGTGCACAGCTTATCTATAAGAGGCCTCTGAGTTCTAGGCTCTAGCTCCACAGAAAGTTTTAAGGAAGAGCAGTCATGGAAAGTCCAAGAAGTGGGGGCCGGCCTGGTGGCGCAAGCAGTTAAGAGCGTGCGCTCTGCTTCGGCAGCCCGGGGTTCGCAGGTTCGGATCCCAGGCGCGCACCGACGCACCACTTGGTAAGCCATGCTGTGGCGGCGTCCCATATAAAAAGTAGAAGAAGATGGGCACGGATGTTAGCCCAGGGCCAATCTTCCCTTCCTCAAGTAAAAAGGGGAGGATTGGCATTGGATGTTAGCTCAGGGCTAGTCCTCCTCACAAAAACAAAAAAAAGTCCAGGTAGTACTCAGACTTGCTCTAAATAATAATAACAAGAGAATCATCTTTTAGTATAAGTAGTTCCAGAAAAATTTCATTCTCTGGAAGTTAAGGGGCTAAGCATATGATAGCATGCTTTTTCATAAGCTGCTCTATATGATGTAAAAGTCTATTTTAACAGCCACCAAATAAATCTGCCAAAACCACCACCTAGTGAAACAGTACAAGAAAAACTTAAAATCCTAATAAGTTACTTAATACAAAAGCTCCATGTGCTAGAAGTGGCAATTAATAAATATTTTACTATCATTCCTATAATGGTTTCTACTTTTATGCTTTTGAAGAGCTTCATGGAAAAATAAGTTATCTTGTTTTACTCAATAATCTGGAAAGTTCCCCATGGTAAACAGCCCTACTCTTATTCAAACTATAGAACGCAATAAAATCAAATTTAATAATAAGTAATGTTCTTTAGTATCTTGCAAATTCCTGTCACAAAAAGTTACAGTTTCTCACAAAATATTCTAATGAAAGACTAAAGTAACCTTCACACAGACCAGACATTTAAAAGAAAGAACAGAATCATAAATATAGACAATCTATGATAAAAGAACTCCTTCAGGTGATGTATGTTCCCACTGAGATGTTAATTACCTGCCAGGTCTTTAGTACATTTTATTTTATTTTTTTAATTATGATTAGACCATCTCTCACCCTGAGCTCTTCAACATTTGGGTACTCTGACAACTTCAGATTGGAGGTATCAAGGCGACGCTGATAATCTTCTAAGCGCTGAAAATTAGACAGGATAGAGCCAAGGTTACTGCTTTGCCTATCAAAGACCTCCCTGTTCCTAAATCTAATGGACATTTTTACCTGCATTTTACTGAGCTCTCTGCAACATCAGACATAACTGACAACTCCCTCTTTCTTAGAACACCCCCTTCCCTCGGCTTTGGTGATATTACCCTCTCCTAGTTTCCTCCAATCTGTTTGGCTGTTCTTTCTCAATCTTCTTTTCAAACTCACTAGCCTCTAACTAGCTTATATTTATTTTCTGAATATGTAAATTACGTACATGGTACAAAATTCAAAAGGTAACATAAGCCACACAAGAAAAAGTATGTATCTCTCTAACCCTGTCTTCTTGCCTCCTTACTCCTAATTTTCACTGAAGAAGCCATCACTAATACCCATTTCTTGGGTAGCCTATAAGAAAAAGTCTAATAGCAAATAGAATATATGTGTATATAAGTATGCTTGTCTCTGTGCATGTTGTGTGTATATATCGTTTTTTAAAAAAAGATATGGTAGCATAATATTCTCATATATGTATTACTCATTCAAATGATAACATAATATATTCATATACACATTTCTGTGTGTGTCTATCACCCACCAATACATCTTGGAGATTGCTCCACATTAGCACATATAGAGAGAGCTATCTCATCCTTTTAATGGCTGATGGTATTCAACTCTGTGAATGAACTATGGTTTATTTAACTATACCTTACTGATGGACAGGTAGGTTACTTCCAACCTTCTCCTATAACAAACGATACTATAGTAAAATGGCCTTACACATATGCTTTTGTACACATATGCAGATATATTTATAGGATAAATTTCTAGAGGAAGAACTTTTAGATCAAAAGGTATACACATTTTTTCCCAAGATTATAAAAATTTCCAAATACACACAAAAGTTTGAATGTGTACAGTGAACACCCATATACCCACTACCTACATTCCACAATTAACATCTGCTATATTTTTTTATCATATACCTATCCGTCTATTCATCCCTCTATTTATCCATTAATCCAACTTATATTTTGGATGCATTTAAAAATAAGTTACATATAGAAGCACACTAAATATTTTAGCATGCATATCATTGACAAGAGTTTAATATTTGTTTATAGTTCTTCTTTTGAAGTAAAATTTACCTACAGTGAAATGCACACATTTTACGTGTACCTTTCCAGGAATTTTTACAAATGCATACACCTGTGCAAACTCCTATCAAGACGGGAAATATCACCATCACCTCAGAAAGTTCCTTCATGCTTCTTCCTAGTTAATCTGTCTCCACATCCTCAGTGACAACCTCTTTTCTGATTTTTTTTTCCACCATAGATTAGATTTGCCTGTCCTAGAAGTTATATGAATAGAATTACATGTATGCACTCTTTTGTGTCTGGTTTCTTTCAGTCAGCATAATGCTTGTGTGGATCAGTTGTTCATTCCTTTTTATTGCTGGAATTATTCTAGTTTATGACTATACCACATTTGGTTTATGCTATAAACATTCTTGTACAAGTCTGTGGGCATATATCTTCACTTCTCCTGGGTAAATCACTAGTAATGGAATTGCTGGGTCAAATGGTAGATGTAAGAATATGTGCATTTTTAATTTAGGTAAAAATCACCAAACTGCCCTCTGAGGTTTTACCTTTTTACACTCCAAACAACACATTTGAAAGTTCCCGTTTTCCCACAGCCTTACCAACAGAGTTGTCATCATACTCAGTTCCTAAGAAATTACATCCAGGTCCACAGATTCAATCAGCCTCTATACGCTTACAATCTTATATTTTTATCTTCAGCACAGTCCTCTTAGAGGTGGATCCATATAGCCAATTGCTTACTGTATGTCTTCACCTGTATCCCAAACTAGACTCATCATCTTCCCCACAATCTGGGGCTTCTCCACTCATCCTGTCCATCCAAATGTGCAGGCTAGAGACCTGAGATTTATTCTTGCCATCACCTCTCTTCAAATACTTCTCTAATCAGTCACCAAGTCCCGTCAATTTTACCTGCTAAATACTTTCTCCATTCTTGCACTTCTCTAGGCCACCAGCACCTATCCTGGACTGCTGCAACAGACTACTAACCGAGCTCTTCCATCCACTCTCTCCCCTTCTAGGTACTTTTGCTGTCAGCATCTTTGCCGTAGACATCTTTGCTGCAGACATCCTTGCCACAAGCATTTTCGAGGCCAACGTTTTCAACGTATAACTAATTGGCCGTAAGGCAATTTTGCCATAAAAGATAAAATAACTAGTTGACAGTTTGTGCCACATTTCCCACAAAATTTTAGAATGTCTATCAACAGACATAGGACAATATGCCAAGAACAAACAACAGTGTGGAAGGCTTTTCACAACATGATACAAAGTTCAGTTTCAAATATGCATCCTAGTATTTGGAAACTGATACCTCTCTTAATGAAGGAAGAAATTTTAGTGAAAAAGAAAAAGTGTCATGGATGCCGAACGAACAGATGAATCAACAAGCGAAAAAAGCTGCATAATACTATGAAAAAAAGACTTCGAACAAAAGTGCTTAGGTACAACCAATCCACAAAATCAGTTTTTGCACAGTATTGTCATGAATCTATACACATTTTAAATGTATTCAAATATTTTGTATTTATTTCACAATAAAGCCTTTTTAATTTTGTTATTCATTTCTCATGTTTCATTGTGTCCTTTATTCAGCAGAAATAAAACCCACAAAATAAAATCAGTTATTTGCGCAGTATTGCTATGAATCTACACACATTTTAAATGTATTCAAATACTTTGTATTCATTTTGCAATAAAATCTTTTTAATTTTGTTATTCATTTTTCACATTCCATCATGTCCTTTTTAATGTCCCTCTTTTACCTTTCGTTATTTTATCTTTTACGGTAAAATTGCCTTACGGCCAATTTGTTATGCAGCAAAAACGCTTGCGGAAAGATGTCTAAGACAAAGCAGCTTATGCCGAAAATATGAGACAAGCTCTCACTCTCCACTCTCTTCCGTCTTCAACCCGTCCCCCATAGAGCAGGATGAGTAACATTCATAAAGCGAAAAATCTGAACATGCTACTCTCCCTCTTAAATGTCTATAATGAATTCCTACTGCTCTTAGAATAAAAAACAAAATCTTCAACAGTCTACAGGGCCCGATATGATTTGGCCCTGGCCTACTGTGCCTCACTTCAGACCACTCTAATTTTGCTTTTTAGGCACGATCCACACTATTCTAATCTTTCCGTTCCTCAAAGAGACCACGCTTTCTTTTTACCTCAGGACTTTCACACATGCTGTTCCCTCTACCTAAGGTTGCCCCCTCCCACATTCTTTTGGTACATTTCCACTTATCCTTCAGAGCCTTGGCCTAAATGTCAATTCCTCAAGGAAGCTTCCTCTGATGGCCGCTACCTAACATCCTCAAACTAGGCTAGCCCACCCCCAAGTTATATACTCCTAGCATCCTGAACATCTCCTACATAGCAACTATCACAACTGATATAAAATACTTGCACTAAAATCTGTTCAATGCCTCTGTGTCCTGCTAGAAAACAAGCTCAGTGTGGGCAATTATTGTACTCATTGTCTTAACCACTCTTTACCCTACACACAGCATACAGTAGATGCTCTATAAATGTTTGTTGAATGAACAGATGAATGAAAGAGCAAACAAGTGACTAGCAATGCTCAAAGAGGCCAAATACAACTCTGATGTTCTATCACAAATTGATCTGGACCCAGCTACTACACAAATAGTTAACAAATGTCCCACCCTTCAATTACGTAATTATAGTTTTAATTATTATTTCAGATTCCAGGTAACACTAATTTAATATTTTCACTATGTCATCCTGTAGCTTCTTTCCCGTCTTACCTGCTTGTTTTCTGCCTCCCTGACAGCCTGATTTACATAATTTAAGATCTGACGACAGTGATCTGCAGCTTTCTTCACCTTCTCCCTTTCCACTGGCCATTCTAAATATGGGAAAGAAATCCAAAATGTAAAATGGAGGAAATCAGAAAAGAATATAAATATATAAATAAATGAGACATCATTTTATTTCAACAGGTGTAAGAACTTACTAAGACTCTGAATTATTTTTATACTCAGATAAAATCTATGGCAGAATCTCAATTTAGGTAGTCTTTGCACAGGTGAGACTTCTTATGACAGTACCTTAAAACATAAATACTAATCTTTAAAAATAAACCATAGGATAGAACCCCAAATCCAAGAAGTGATACTTTACATCAACTATCAGGCCCACTATGTTAAACACTCTAGGGAGTGGGTCTCATTTATGTTGTAAGCTACATAAATAGGTCCCTTCTCCCGCTAGAATTTCACAGTGCACAGCCTACATGATTATGTCCAGAGGACCTGTTAAGCAATATTTTTTAACGATAACACAATTTAAAATAACTCCAAAATAAGTTTCTTTGAATTTGAGATTATATTTAAAGAAAGAAAATAGATTATAACATTTGCATCATTAAAAGATGAAATTCACCAAAATGTGTTGAGGTTACATTGAGATCTACAATGTAAAGAATACCGAAATCAGAATATTCAAAATTACAACCCTCCAAGCAATAGTCTAACTATACTGAACACATATAGTAAAGTATAAAAATTAATGTGTATGAGTATTTTCAAATTCTCAGGCATAAGAAACAGGAGTTTGATTGCATAAAATTATTAACAAGAACTAAGTATAAGAGCCTAAAGCTCAATTGAGAAACTCAGATTCACTTCATGTTTCAAAACAGGCGAGTTGGAATTACAACGCGTTGGTTGGGCTTAATGACAGTACATATATAGATACAAAACACCTCTTCAACCCAGTATAAGCCTTCTTCAAAGCAAATATGACATATGCTAGAGGAAGGATTGGAAAACTTTTTCTGTAAAGGGCCAGATGATAAATATTTTACACTTGACAGGCCAAATGGTCTTTGTCACAACTATTCAACTCTGCTGTTGCAGTGCAAAAGTAGTCAGAGACAATATGTCAACAAATGAGCATGACTATGTTCCAATAAAACTTTATTTATAAAAATAGGCGATGAGCCAGATTTGGCCCATGATCCAGAGTTTGCCAAACTTTGTGCTACAGCTACTAATGGAGTACATTAAACCAAATAGCCTGAAGAAGACTGGATTGAATCTTGTCAGAAACTTTTGCCATACTATTTGGAAATCCAACCTCCAGAAACCAGGATGCTGTGAGAGATTATTTAGCAGGACAAGTTTTTTTCTTTGGCTTGGGGGGTGGTTGGGGTTTCTAAGCTTTTTAATTTCAGTAAGAATGCTGTACCTGTGTATTTGGCAATATTATCCAATAGAAGAGGGTACTTAGTAAGCCTCTGCATTTGAGTGGGAATGATATCCTTCAGCTGTAGACGACGACATAGTGGATTACTCTCAGCATCCTAAAATTAAATAAGTGAATTGGTAATTCTTATTAGGACTATAATTACCTAACACATGCCATTGATTCATCATACAAACGTCTACAGCATCACAGTTTTGGTTATTAAATCAAGAACTAAAACATGCCAAGACACACCATTGCCACACTATACTTCTGCTTGCTCATTTACCCCCATAATGGAGGAGGGGAGCTTTATCACTAAGCCAATGGATTCTTTGTTATCTGTTTAAGCAAGGACTGAGAATATCCATAATCAACTCTGTTGCTTTCTTGTGGTAAAACACTTTTAACCTCACATATTCAGAAAATCCAGTTACATGTCCCTATGATTGGCATTCCTACCAAAAGTTAGTTGGCTAATTTGCTATCTACCATTCCAAGCAGGCACAATGGATCACCAGTCTGGATATACCGGGAGTCTAGAACATAGTCTACAAGCCTTTCAGTGAAGTGTTAGATAGTAAATATTTTAGGCTTTGTATGCCATACAGTCTCTGTCACAACTACTCAGCTCTGCTGTTTTAGCACAAAAGTTGTCACAGACAATAGGTAAATGAATGAACATGGCTATGTGTGGTAAAGAGTTCTAAGATGGCCTCCAAGATTCTCACTCCCACTCTCCGGCATACAGCCTGTATAATCCCCTCCCCTTGGGTGTGGACAGAACCTGTGAATATGATGCAATATCACTCCTATGATTAGCTACAGTTAACTCTGAGTTAATCAACAAGGATAGTGTCCTAGGTGCGTCTGACTTAATCAGAGGAGCCTTCAAAAGAAAGCTCTGTCAGAGAGACACATTCCTACTGGCCTGGAAGAAAGGCAACAGTCATCTTGTAAACTGCCTACAGGGGCCACAAGGCAAAGAGATATGGGCACTCTCTAGCTGAGAGCAGTTCCTAGCCAACAACAGCAAGAAGACAGGGATCTCAGTTACACATTTACAAGGAAATAAATTCTGCTAACAACCAGTGAGCTTAGAAGAGGAACCCAAGTCTCAGATGAGAACTGCAGCTCCAGCTGACACCTTGATTTCAGCCTGGAGAAAGCATGAAGAGAGGACTAGCTAAACTACACCTGTACTCCTAAACCACAAAAACTGACATAAATTTGCATTAAGTTGCTACATTTGTGGTAATTTGTTATACAGCAATAAAGACTAATACACTGTGTTCCAATAAAACTTTATTTACTAAAACAGGCAAAGAGCTGGATATGGTCTGTGGGATGTAGTTTACTGACCCTTGATCTATACCAATATATACCTCAATAAGTATGATCACTGCTATATTCTTCCTTGGGCTTGATGTAAGCCCAGTCTCATGTTTTGATGATATTATTTTAATAGTGTACATGGGCCATTTCCTGACAATATCTCCACGGCAATGTGGACTTCTATGTCATGTTTATACCCTCCAGTAATTTAACAGATAACGTATGGCTTTAAAAAATGTTAACATAGATAAAAACAACAACAAACAAACAGAGACAGAGATTGGATTGGTGGTTACCAGAGGGGAAGCGGGGAGGGAGCAGGGCGAAAGGGATAATTAGGCACATGTGTGTGGTGATGGGTTGTAATTAGTATATGGGTGGTGAACATGAGAACATGATGTAATCTATGCAGAAATAGAAGTATAATGATGTACACCTGAAATTCATACCATGTTATAAACCAATGTTACTGCAATAAAAAAAAAAATTTAAAGAAAAAAAGAACAGAGTTGGTATTATAAGGAAATTCAGGTGAGACTACGTCTGTATTATAATAACTTGTTATCATTCCCTATCATTGTCTATTCTATGATATGTAAGGATCCTTCATCACGTGTATAATTAAGTATAATAAAGTAATTCAGAGCCTAAAAAAAAAGTTAACATAGATATAATCCTTGTAAAAAACTTAGCCTTAGTCAGAATTCCCCCAGTTTATTCTACAACTGATAAAAAATTGCATTTTTTTCCCTTACATGACTCACTCAACTCACTTGCACAAAAGTCTGGAACTTAGAATCCTTTTTCTGACGAGACTTGATCATTTCCAGGGCAAAAGGTTGGTTACTGCAAAAGGTAGCAGCAGCATGTTTCAACTTTTCCTCCCCTGGTCCACTGAACTGTGCCAAGAATGCAAAGAACACAACAGAGAATGGGATACTGAACTTATATAAGGCCAGGCAAAATAAGAGATAAACACAATCCTTTCAATATTCCAATAAGTATTCTCAAGTGACAAGAAACAGAGAACTACATATCTATGTGGAATATCAATGTTTCTCCATTAAAAAGGTCTGACCCTGACACATCCAGATCTTTTCTGATCATATTCTAATGTTTTCCTGCTCGTAGCCTATCACAACTTATTACCTTTTCAGTCTATACCACTTCTAAATTAGATAGAAAGGTTGACACTTGGGGAATATGAGACACAAACACTTAAAGGCTGAGATTAAAATTGCATTTTCTTAGAACCTGATACCTTCACAAAACTTACATTCTTACCGCTCTAGGAAGAAAATCCTTGGAATTCTAGTTTTCTTTCTTACTGTGAAACCCAGGGCAGTCATAGCTTTTCCGGGTCACAATAAAATTAAATCATTGCTGTTTCACCTGTGCAGAGGCCAGAGCTCCATGCCTTGAATCTCTCTGAGGGAGATCCATGAGCCTTATGAACCTCTTCTGCTAAAAATTATACTTTTCACTGTTATTTTTTAATTTATAAATTTAAGTTTGAATATGCCATGATTTTAAAGTTTCTTCTAAAACATCTAACAAGTGCTTCACTCATGACAGGTACTCTTATAAGAAAAGGTCAAATAAATTATTTTTTAACCATCTTTATATTTTTAATAATTGCTGTTTGGTCTACAAAGAAGCTTTTCATACAACCTCCCACTTAAAGCCATATTTCCAAAAGTTCGTACATGAAGATATTTTGTGGGAAATCCTTTTGTAGTGCATTTGTACATAGATTCAGAGTATTTTTTCTTCAACTAGGACACATACAAAGTGATATTTTAATAGGATGCTCTAGTGTTATATTCTTATTCTATTATAAATATGACACTCAAAACACTTGAAGATGAAACTGGCAGCATTTTTAGTATGTTAGTCAATCAAAGTGCCATGCAAATACTAACAGTAGCTGGGTTTACAAAACATAATGCCTCCAACCTCAAGTAGTTTTACAGTAGTTTTATAAGTGGCTTAAATGTACGTAAGGTGATCTCAAGGGACCAATACTGAAAACGTACTCTCCAAAACTATTTTTAAAAATAGAGTAAATCTAAAAGTCTATTTATGATTTTTGCTTTCAGTATTTCTGGCCAATGCTTTGTCCTAAATTAACCTTTTGTACCTAATAATTACTAACCAAACTGATTAGTCCATTCTGCTTTTCCTCAACTTTTTATAGGTACATCACATTGGTCAAGAATACAATTCTTTTTATATGTTCTAAAATAAATTTTTTGTCTCACTCGGTTAATAGGTTTCTCCACTTTATTCTATCATGTAGTAGATTTATGTAGTCCAAAGGACTATGATAAGAGGACCAATTGTACTTCTGTACCTTATTAACGATGAATCTCACTTGGCACTTGGTGTTAAATATTTTTTATATGAGATGCAAATGAAACTGCTTCAGAATCAAGACTGGTATCTTAAGTCCATATGACTTGCAACATTTTAATCCAAATTTGACATGAAAATTGATGCTAAACTAAGTCCTGATACACATTTTGTTTCAAGTTGAGAAATGTGCTGCCAAGCCAACAGAACTCAGTTATAACTTTCACTGCTGCACTGCAATCAAGAAACAACAGGAGTCACATACCACAGAGCAGCCCTAGAGTAAGCTGAACTATTCAAGGAAGTTGAGTCTCCTTAATAACAATAATGCCAGACTGAGTCTAGGGAGAAAATCTCTAGGGAGAACTTTGGAAAGTTCAACAATGCAAGATGAGACTGGATTGTGATTTCCTGATCTTGTTCCATGAGTCAAGTGGCTAAAAAGGGATCTACTACTGGATTAACAGATTTCAAGCCATGATCTCACCATCAATGAAAGGAGTAAGAGGAACACTGTTTTAGTCAACTTTCTAGTATTTAACCTTTTAAAAAGTTATCATTGTGGAATTACCAAAATCTTGTGGCATTTCCTCAAGCAGACTACATACTGAAGTAAATTTCTGTGGGCATATCTAAACAGTTCCTGTTCAACCTATGTTAAGATTTTGAGAACTACATCATATACTTTACTAGTATTCACAGGCTTTACTACAGTACTTTCTTTAAAAGTTTGGATCAAACCCCCTTTCCCCTGGAAAGATGTTCTGTATGTTCTAGTTTAGGTCTTCCTGTTATATATTTCCATAAAAATCTGTACTCTCCCCTTTCTGTAACACTCATCACACTTGAAATAACTAATGACTATTTTCCCATGGATTAAAAGCTTTACTAGGGCAGGACTGTGTCTGCTTTGATTGCCACTGTATTCTCAGCACCTAGAACTGTGCTTGGCGCATAAGTATATATTGTGGCATATAACCTGACAACAAGTCAAACAGAAAGATAAACAGAATTTGACAAACAGCTACTATAGTCTCTGAACTCTTTCCTTATACTGTAAATAAGATTAATTTTCACTTTTATACTTTTATGATGGTAGTTCTGGATCTACAATTGTCTAATGTTTTACTGTACAATTCTGAGATTTGGACAACAGAAGACAGCTAAAATTTCACATCAGTTAAATTACTTTTATCAAGATTCATTTTACTCCATATTCTTTAAACACAAAGAACTAGTATCTTTAATTCGATGAAAAAAGCGCACTTAGTTTGACTGAGCACTTATTATCAGAAGACATTAAGCAAGAGAATACATACTTGGGCTCTTTCATCTTTACATGACTAGCTTTGCAGAATGGATGAGTTTGCATATTTGGAAAGGTTAGTTATTTAAGCTTCAATCTGATCATCAAGTGTCTATAAAAATAATAAAATGAAATAGCAAATTTCTTTACCCAGGTCAGCAAATCTTCCCCAATCTGATCAATAACAGAAGTCTCATTCCTCTTTCGAACAGCCTTCATTTGCTCGTTCAACCCAACTAAGGGGGGAAAAAAACAACAGAAAAAATTAAGTATACACTCATTTCAGGCTGAGTTACTGACAGTACCAAGAAACTAAGTGTTCAAAAAGAGGATTTTCAGAGTAGTATAACTGCTTCTAATATCTCCTTAAATATAAATCTGGACACAATTCTTATACATCTAGCTATTTGTGAGCTCTCTCTGAAAAACAGGTGCCAAAGCACAAAACAGTGTGAAAACTAGTACATTACATACAGTATAGGGCTACCAAATATGCATTTAATGTCAAGACTCCACTATAACCATGCTCATAAGGAACTTAAATTTAAATAGTACAGGTGATTCTGCCCACTGTTCCTCTGAAAATGTGTTCACAGGCAATGGATATCATCAAGCAAGAACGTGTCAATGCAAGCTGGTGAAATCTAAAACCACCTACAAAGAAGTAAAAGGCATCAATTTGGTGGGTAGGTGTTGATGATGGCACCCTTCATGCAAGAAAGGTTGAAAATTAAGAGTCACAGAGAAACAGTGACTTACAAAAAGAGGAACTGATACTACTGTCTATAAAAGTCCAAAATTCCTTCCTAGAAAGCCAGCAATGTAGTATTTTTACATATTACTCAAGTGTTTCAAGCAAAATAACAATAAAATAATCTAATTCCTGAAATCTATCCCACCATGGGATTACATACTATATATTACTATTTATATAATATATTTACACATTTATTATTATATGGGATATATATTTTTAAAAACATATATACTGTAATTGATAGGAAATTTCCAAGGGTAACTTTAACTATTCATGTTTTTCAACTTAGACATTGAATTCAGACCTTAAATCCTGTGTTAATACTCTGTATACAACAGGCTGATGGCAGGGACGGGGGAGAAGATATTCAGGATCCAACATGTCTTTATTTATGTTATGTGCTCACATATAATTATGTAATTTCAGGAATGCTAACATGGATACAGTTACAAGATTTTACTGTATGGTTCCTATACATACATACTCACAATCTTTTATCTATTAGAAATGTTAAGGACAAAGATCAGAGTCAATTTCTCTTACTGTGAAGCTGAAGAATATCTTCCAAGTTTGAAAAAATTTTCCGTAGTTCTGAAGGTGACAGAATTCCTTCTCTGGACACTCGCTGATAGAATACTTGATCAAGAACCTTCAGTGTTCGAACGTGAGCTCTTTCAGTGTAGAACAATTCTAAGCAGGAAAAAAGGAAACATGAAATGTTACCTTACTTAGAATAATTCCATGGGACCAAACATAGATGTCAGCTGGAATTAAGTAGCAAATGAGTTATATAGTAATTATTGATAGTTTTGAAAGGATGTAGTATCTCTGAAGTCACTTTCTTGATTCCATGAACCTCTCCTACAAACTGCCTCTAAGAGTTGAATACTGGCAAATGAAAAATACCATTCAAAACTATTTTGTACTTAAAAGTTAACAATGTACTCCAAAATCCATCTGTCTTTTTACAATAGTACCCATCAATCACAACTACAACATTAGAAAGCTGTAAGCCAAAACATCTTATAGCCTTTAAATTGAGCCCTCTTCAGAAAAAACAGTACTTTTGGTTATCTAATTTGCCAATAAACTCTTATTTCTGAGGCCAGACTTGAAATTTCACTATGTCTCAATGTTATCAGAGACAAGAAGGATAATTATTCAAATCACATTCTAAAGATGGTAAAGGGTATAGCATCCATGTCACATCTCTGTCACATATATGCTAGCATAAAATAAAGAACAGTGCACTAGAACAAAGGAAGACCTGGATCCTAGTTTTATCCCTACCACTCATCAGCTGTATGATCTTGATTAATTCAACAATCACCCTGAGCCTTAGCTTCCTCATTTATAATCTACACACAAAAATAACTTAGCCTGAAAATAAAGTGAGGGGACAAATGGTGCCTCAATGATTTTTCAAGTTTAAGACCTATAACACTATGAATCTTAAATATCCTGAAGGCTAACCACCTTTTCCTTTTAAATTATCAATAAGAATCACAGAACCACTTGCATTTTTTGAGTTGTAAGATTCAAGGATCATCTCTCTAGTTTAATTTCCTCTTTGTTTAAAACAAAAGGCTAGCAGAAGCTCTAAAGCAAACTCCAAGGCTCAGGGCTTTGTTTTACTCTCAATATATGTGAACAACAATAACAACAGCTAATTAAACTCACCATTAATTACTTCCTGTCTTTTGATCTCACAAGGCTTTAGTCCCAATAACACTTCTCGACTAACAAGCTGTTGCCAGTTGGGTGGATCTGTTTCTAAGTCATTTTCAAACTGTTCATCCTCACTTTGACTTTCTCCAAAAGCTATGCTGTCAAACCTAATGAAGAAAAAATGATGAATTCTATTTGAGGCCATCAGGTGAACAACGGGAAATAACACAAGTCTTTACATTAATCAGTCAGATTTCTGAAGTATTGCTTAGCACAGAGCCTGAAACATCACCCTTGCCTACAAAATGCCTTACATATGTTAAATACATACACCTCTACAAATACCTTTTGAATGATTTGTGTTTATCAAAAACTTTCTTTTATGCTATCTAACAGATTTGTGTACAGGGTTTCTTTTCCTTTAAAACTAGGACTTTAGGGGGCTGGCCTGGCGGCATAGTGGTTAAGTTCGCGGGCTCCGCTTCAGCAGGCCAGGGTTTGCGGGTTCGGATCCCCGGGTGCGGACTTACACACCACTCATCAAGCCATGCTGTGGCGGCATTCCGCGTATAAAACAGAAGAAGATTGGCACAGATGTTAGCTCGGGGCCAATCTCCCTCAAGCAAAAAGAGGAAGACTGGCACAGATGTTAGCTCAGGGCCAATCTTCCTCACCAAAAAAAACAAAACAAAACAAAACAAAAAACCTAGGACTTTAGGGAAAAAAGATATATTTCGTAAAATATGCCTCTATTGAAAGCTACTTTAGGATTACTTACTTTCGAAAGGGCTTTGGTGTCCCATGTTCAGTCATTCTAAAACAATAGAGAATAAAGAGTCAACATGAAAACAAAATGGTAATCAAGAAATTTATGCCAAAGATACTCAAAACTGGTTAAATTACAGTGGCTAATAAATAATTCTTCTGGATATTATAATAATTTCATATCAAAGAAACTGAAAAACATTTCCATACCTATCTAATATTTACCACCAATAAGTTCTAGTTCTTTCCCCAAAAAACGCATATGCAAAAAAATGCTACAAACTATAGCAATACTATACAACCAAAAACTTGAAGCCATGTCCTAACCCCACGCTAAGAAATGACTGAATTACCTTTCTACTTCCCATTCCTCCTCTTGTACTTGGTCTAATGGAGGAGGTGGGAAATCAAAGATGGTATTGGAAGTACGAGGTGTGCCATCTAAGGAGTCTCCGGATGCTGGTGTTTCTCCAACTTGCTTTGATCCTGAAAAGACAGAAGTCAGACATTCAGATGGTGTTAATACTTAATAAAGACAATTACAAAATAAATTAGTCCCCAAAAGAGCTTCAACCTAATCCATAGCCACATTCTTATTTAAACAATTGCATGTTAGCTAGAACCAGAATTCTAATATGTAAAAATTTTAAATGCACTAAAAATAAACAGGAAAATCACTTTTAAGCAGCTTTTTAAAAAATCAACATAACACATGGTGACCACTCAGAAGAGCATGTGATGAGGAGACACATTCTCTTACCTTCTCATTTTCTACTCCAGTGCCAACCTTTTTCATTCAAATTTTAGTTACTACAGCGGTCCACATCCAAATATTAACCTCATACTACTTTGTCTTGACTTATTATCTTTAGGTAATATCTATTTATTCCTCCTCTGAGGATTTTGCTCACTTATACTTCCCACCTTCACCTTCCCCCTCATTTCTTCCCAATGTTTAATAATTATATTATTATTACTGTTGGGTTACTGGTTATTACCTAAGTTTAAATGATAGCATTATATCTATATTTTTGTTCCAAAAAGGAGTTACTATCTTAACTCTCTTCTATGTCAAACTAGGTATTTAGTGTCCATATCCTTCACTTTAACTGTCTTTCTTTCCTTATACCTTTCATTTCTTTCAACTACATTTTTACTTGTATCATTAAGAGGATTTTTTATATTTCCATTTCTGATCTACAGCTACAACTAAATATTCTGTCCTTTGCCTGTTAGGTTGACTCTAGAAGTCTGAAAACCAAAAGAGGGCTTACATTACTATGACAATACACATATTGTCATATACAACATACATACACATATTATTCCCACCAGGTTAAGAGGTATGTTAGTTGGGATTATGTTTTCTTTTATATTGGTCCAATGATGCAACTCCTACGCCACTTAAAATAGAAGGTTTATTGCATTCAAGTCATATACTCCATCAATTACTTTATCAAGTCTCAAATTTTTTCATCTGCTGCTTAAAATCGCCCTTTTTCTTACCCGCTATGTTCCTGGTCTCCAATCTGGAGCAGCTGCTCCCTTGGCCTGTGACACAACTATCTTCCTAGAACTGCCCTTCACCACTTTCCTGGGTTGTTTCCACTGTTTCCTGGATCCCATGACATTTTCTTTTTTAATTTTTCCTCTCATTTTGCTGGAGTGTGTATTTTCAAATAATGTTCAAGGAAAAGGTACGTTTCAGTTAAATTTTGAATCCTGGCATATCTGAAAATATCTTCACATCTTTCTTCATGTTTGATGGATAGTTTGGCTGGATATAGAATTCTAAATTCAATACCATTTTCTTTCAGCAGTTAAAGGCATTGCTCCTTTGTCTTCTAGCACCTACTGTTATGATGAGAAATGGGATGCAGCATAAGCCCTGTTTTCTTTCTCTTAAAAGCTTTAAGGATTCTTTTTCTTTATCTCTGCTGCACTGAAATTTCCAAAGACATTTTAGGTATAGATCTTTTATTATTGTTATTATTATTATTATTCATCATGGTTGGTTCCCAGTGAGCCCTTTCTCTCTGAAGACACGTATTCTTTTTCAACTCTGGGAAGCTTTCTTCTGCTGTTTCTCTAACTGCCTCTCCTCCATTTCCTCTACAGATGTTTTGTGAAAGAGATAGATGTTGGACCTCTGTAGTGGTTCTCTACATGATTCTTGTCTCTCCAATTTCTAGCTCCTGATATTTCTGATATACGTTCTGAAATATTTCCTTGACTTTATTTTTAGGGACTACTTGTTTTTTTTGTTTTTTTTACTGGTAGCTGTGGTAGTTTGAAAATATGTCCACAAACCCTTTGATACTCCTCCCTTCAGGGGTGAGCCTAATTCTTCTCCCTTTGAGTGTGGGCGAGATTTAGTGACTTGCTTCTAACTGGCTGAAGTGACAGTGTGCACCCACAGTGACTAAGTCATAAAAGACACTGGGGCTTCTTTCTTGCTCTCTTTTGGATCACTGGGGAAAGTCAGCTACCATGTCATGGACACTCAAGCAGTTCTATGGAGAAGCCCATGTGGTGAGGAGCTGAGGCCTCCAGGAAGGAGCTGAGTCCTCCTGCCACCAGCCACTTACGTGAGCACAGAAGCCAGTCTCCTAGCCTCAGCTAAGCTTTCAGATGACTGGCTGACATCTTGACTGCAACTTATGAGAGACACCAAGCCAGAAATGCCCAGCTAAGCTGCTCTCAAGTTCCTCGCCCACCAAAAAATGTGAGATAATGTTTTTTGTGTTAAGCCATTAAGTTTTAGGGTAATTTATCACAAAGTAATTGATAACTAATACAACAGTCATTGTATTGTATGTAATAGTTATATTAAAACTTTTTTTGGTCTCTGAATGCCCCTTTTTCATAAGCATCCTATTCTTGTTTTATAATAACTGCTTTAATTTCCCCAAGTATGCTATCTAATTTAGAGGTATTTTTTAAGGTTCTTGTCTATTATTTAAATTACTGTTCTCTGCTAGGGGAAGTTTTTCTGTTTATTATATATTCTCTTTTTTATGCCACTAATATGTTTAGCCTTGTGCATTACCTTGGGTGTTGACTAACAAGTAAATTTTGCCAAGGGTGAGTAATGCTGTTCATATTTAAGAATGCAAGGCTGGGTAGCTGATTTGGCTTTCTTTTGTTGCCCTATGGAAGTAGGTCCATTTCAGTTGGGAGCTCTCTGAGCAGGGTGAGACCCTGGCATGCCTACTGTCAGGCTTTAGGCCCCCAAATGTTAGAACTCCAGGGCACTAATACTGTGGAGGACTTAACTCTCCCTACACAATTCATTCAACTTCTCTAAAAAAGGGCACACTCGTTTTCTTCTGGTACACAAATGACAGACTGCTTATATTCCACAATGCAAGGATCAGAAGATATTGACTAACTGTTTTGATTACAGACCTTCAATTCATAATTTCAGCTTTATTTCTTATCCGTGTACTCCATAACACAGGCCAATTCTGAGCCCAGTCTCTCCAGAGTTCTAATGCGCAGACTGTCTCCCACCTTGGACTTCTTAAACAAACTATGGGCTCCAGCTTCCTTTACTGTTTTAACCATCAAACCATTATTGTCCACTCTCAATCTTCCAAAAATTTGTTGAAATCTCTTATTTAAACATCTTCTCTTCTTCCACTTCCTTTCTCTTTATGGTTTTTGTTTATTTATAACCTACCACGTTTTTATTTCAATGAGACATGGGAGCCATGAATCAACGCATGTACCCAATCCAACATCTTGAGAATTCCATGTAAGACAAAATCTCCAGACTTTTCTACAAATGTCACCCCTACTTCTTTGTCCTAAATAAAAACCTGCCTATCCTTGGTTACCTCTTCTGCTACAGCCCTCTTAAACAGAAACTGATCTTTCTGTCATACACTTTGTACTTCAGGGTGGAGATGACATGCATATCCTTCTTGTTCTTCAAGACTACTTTTAGATCATTATCTTTTCTTCTTATAAAAATCCCTTGCTCCATTGAGGCTCTCACTCTCTGGGTACTATCGCATGTTCTCTCTCCTCACAACAATCATCTAGCAACACTGAGCCTTTCGCTGCTGGCTCAGTTTTCCTCTCCATGCTAATGTCACATGAGGTGACCTCAAAACCCACGTAAGTTAAAGTATTAAAACTCCTGGCCCCTTGGTTCCTCACTTTCTTCATCTCTAGTAACCTCCTCTATGCCACCTCAGTGACCACTCCCACAGCTTTATCCTTGACCTTTTCACGTCAGAAATTGAAGTGCTTCCAAAATCATCAATATAGATAGACATTCCCCGCTCCAAATAGAGCCTCCTATGCTCCCAGTTCAGTTGCTTAAGAAACCCATTATAACAAATATGAAGAAATATGGCAATAATCTCTTTTCCCAATTATCTACAATTACTTCATATCTTTCTTTACTCTTCAAATCTCCTTACCCTTCTCATTAAACCCTCACTCTCAGCTAATAACCTTGCCCTTCACAGACACTCGGCATCTCATCTCCTCTCTCCTTCTCAAAACTTTGTTCTATTGGTTATACTGTCTAGCTCCTGCATCTTCAACCTCTTCCTCTCAACTGGCTTCTCCTTAGTATTTAAAAGAAATCTCAAGTGTCTCAGAGTTTTTAAAAAATGTCTTCTTTAGACCCCCCACATCTGCCTCTAACTACTGACCAGTCCCCTCAACACTCCTTTTACTCTTTCTCTATTGGACTCAGCACAATTTGAATTTTTCATTTGTGTGACTATCTCCCCATGAGACTGAGCTGCATGGAGCAAGAATCTATATATAATTATTGCATGTTAACATCTGGTACAAAGCTAATGCCTGACAGAGAGCTCAATACATATTTTCTGAATGGACGAGAACTCAAAATTATCATTCAGCATAGATTTGTCAGTGGTTGTAGAATAATAAAATGTTAAAACTAAATTAAACTGGGATTCAGTCTGGATTAAAATAATCTATCTCTATATTTCTAGTTAGTGTGATTATTTTAAAATCTTGATACTTAGTTAGCATTAGCTCACCCATATCATTTTCTTTCCCTCCTTCCTGGGAAAGAGTGGTCCCTGAAACCACAGGGGACATGGAATTGGCTGGCAGGTATCCAATGTCTGTTCCTTCACTTGCTAACCCACTCTGGCGCAACTTAGCAGAGTCCTGAGGTTCAGGACTCACAGATGAGGGTGTGGATAAGTGCTTAGGGTGGCGTTGTTTCTGTAGTTCCATGGCTCTGCCAACTGAACAGAGAGAAATGGTTAACAATTTGTGTTGCAAAACAGCTAAAAAAAAAAAAGATGATGTAAGCATCTGGAAAAATGTCTGAAATATGGTGGGCCCTAAAAAAATGTAAGATGAATTATTACACAAAGTGAGGGACAGAGAGAGAGAAAGAAAGGGGGGCGGGCAGAAGGAAGGAAGGGAGAAGAGGGAGAGAGGAAGAAAGAGAGAGAGAAAGGCAGAGGAAGATGGAGGAAGGACGAAGAGAAAAGGGAGGGAGATGGTGGAAAACGAGGGGAGAGAAGAGGTAGAGAAAGAAGGGTCATGAGAGACGATGAGGAGAGCAATGGTGGGCGGTGAAGAGGGAATGCTGAGAGACAGAGATAAGTACTTATGGAGCTGGATTCATTTGTAACAGTGAAGATGAAGCCTTTTAGCTCCATGAGCTCTTAACAAGTCCCTACCCCTCTTCTCCCCAACATTCACAACTTCATCATTACAATATGCCTCAGAGACTCTCCAGACTAATCCCTATCCTGCTCATTACCCCTGTTCACATTAGTCACCACGAGAAGCTCAAGACCCTCAGGTCATTCCCCATAGCATTGCACATCCTCACCCAGCTTTGTACATCCCTAATCCTAAAATTCTTCCTTCCTTAATTCCTAAAATTCTTCTTCTGGATCCTGTGGAACTCATGGTCAGCATCTGTGAAATGCTCTATTCTCCTCAACCCCTTCTCTAAAAATTTCCTTCATCTTCTCAGTGTTTCTCAACAAGCAGCACTACTGTTATTTGAGTAAGAATTCCTCATTGCGTGGGACATTCAGTATCACTGTATCACATCACCACTCCCCCTCCAACCATGTCAATATTTTCAAATGTGGTACTGCCCAAGCGGAGGACCACTACATCACCTAGTTTCCCTCCCCATAGTACCACTATCCTTATTTCTCCTGCAGCACTCTCTAGTAAGCTGATCTCTCCCCATTAGGCCTGAGGGTGGAGGGAGATCAGGAAATAAAGCACAATGGAGAGGTGGAGAAATTGTAGAAATATGGAGATAGTGAGTAACATATGTATAAAAAGATTAAACAAAGTATGGTGGAGAAATCCATGCATATTTTGTTTTTTTAATTTAACAATAAGAACCTGAATGCTAACAAAATCAGAATAGGTAAGGAAGCCATGTTATAGACAACTGATAGAATTCTCTACTGCCATTAAAGAAGATGTTTATGACAATTACGCAGCCACATGGGGGTATTTAGTTCAGAAATAATACTGAATGGAAACAAGGCACATTGGAAGTTCAGTGGAATCATTTCAAGAACATCTTTCTCCAGAAATTCATTCTAGCTAAATGAGACTCCGATGTATAAGACGGCATGGAATGGTGGGAACGCATTTCAAACCTCAACCTACTTGCACTGTTGTCATGACGGCTTGGTCTTCTTGGAGGCCCCAGGATGCTGGGGAAGCCTCTTCGCTTCCCTTTTTCTTCGCCTTCCCTATCTTTCTTCATACTTTGCTAGAGTTGAGGGACAATCAAAGAGATAAGAGATACATAACAGAGCAGATTTCTTTTGTTTCTTTCAAACATAGAAATGCAACTCTAATGGTCAGCTGTAGGACACTGGTTAAGTGTAAATGAAAGACACACACATACATGGTACTCATTTGAGGCTGGCGCATAGCACCATGTACACATCAAATTCAATGTCTTTTCAAACCCTTTAGAGCTGACAATTTTGGAAAATAAACAGGGAGTTTCATAACACATCTACTAGGAGCTTGTCCTAAGCAATTCATTCATCTGTTGAACAAATATTTACTAAGCTTATAATGAGTGAAGGCACTATGCTAAAAGCTGGGGATACAATGATGAAGGAGGTCCTCGCCCTCATAGAGCTTCACAATCTAACAAAAATTAAACAAAAACAAATAATTACCAACCATGACAGGTACCATAAAAAAAAGTACGAGGACATCACAGAGTCAGAGATGGAATCTGTGTAAAGCGCTATTTTCACTTCTTACATTGTCTAATAATTAGTTTACACATCTGGATTTCTCACTAGATTTTCAGTTTCTGGAGAACAGGGAAGCATATACTAAGAAGAAGGAAAGCACTGCAGCCAAATGTCAAGAAGCACAGATACCTGCACCCACCACTGTTATTCCAGTCCTACCTTGATTTTTGGAAGGAAACCAATCCGACCCCGTTTGTGCTCCAAATTTCGAGGTTCTTTCACTTTTACTCCCAAATGCTTCATGTACATGAGAATAACATACTGCATTGTCGAACTGAAGGAGAAAGGATTAAGTAAAATAAGACTTTTGAGAAGGGAGGGTGGGTGGAATTAAGATATCAAATGACTTCCAAAACTCCAATGCTGGAATTCTTAGAATTATAATTCATCAAGTAAAAAAGAAGGAACTATCTATTCACTGCAAACAGAAAAGGATTCTACTCAAGACACTAGAATATTAGTCAAACAAAATACAGGCCACCAGAGGGAGACAGTCTATATTTTTAAGTTAAAAGAAAGAAATCATAATTTAGGGCTGACAGGAGAAAATATAGTTTTTTTCTTAAAATTCTAGGAAAAAACATTTATTTTACCTCTTATCTTCTTCTACAGCCTGAGCAGTCATCCTACAAATAAAAACATTTAAAAACGAAATATTGAAGTTGAATAAAAGAGTTGCTATTAAACTTGGATACCTGAAACAACAGAACAGAACCAAATGCTTTGGACCCTATCCTAAATCACTGTCACATGGAATAAAATAGCAAAAAACCTCTAATCCCCAAAGGAACTACATGCTTTTCACACTCATGTCATCAACTGCAAATGTTTTATAGCAAGAAATATTTTCAAAGCCTGTGAACCGAAACTAAAGTATTCAACCTATTTTTGATCAATTAGAAATTTTATAGTCATTCATTTTACCAATATCCAGAAAAAGAAACACAAGAACTTTATCTAAAATATCAGCAAAAATAAAAAATTCCAGTTTCTCAAGTATTATGACAAAATAAACAGCTCCACATACACAATCTGACACCCCTTCTAAATTTGATCAAAGTGTACTTTAAGCATAACTAACATCTCAGTAGAGAAGGCATTTCTACATATACTTCTATTACTTACAACACTTCTTCAATTTTGGCAACAATCTGCTCTGCACATGCCCGTTCCTTCTCCCAAGTTACCCGATCCTTGTCTCGCTCTGCATCAAGTTTAGTCAGTTCACTTTCGGCCAAGGTCAGCCCCATGCTACGTTTCTGCCTAATGGGAATAGGAGAAATTTCCTGAGGTAGCCTAGAGAAAAACTATCTCCCTCTGGAGATGTTTCATCAGAGTTTCCATAGCTATGAGTTTCTAGCAACAGGCAAAATGTCACAGTTTTCTATTTTGGGACCCATGTCACCTAGGACACCAGAGGAAAAAAATTCTAGAGGCAATCACTCAACAGAACACATATCCTTAGCACAGACATAGTACTGAGCTCAAATCCTGAAAGTGTATGGAATGGGGACTATGGACTCTCTCAGAACCACTCCAGCGCTTTGACTGCAGATGTTCATGACGTTTTAATAAGAGTGATAAAGACTATATGCTAAGCCAAGGATTTAATGTGTAACCTTTTCCTACCCCAAAATAAAATTCATTCAGAATGACCATATCAATTTATATCTACCACCAAGCTTACCGAAAATCTTCCAAGTGCCTCTGAACTTCCGGGTGGACTCTTTCCTGCATAGTTTGGATATAGTGGCGATGTAGATCCTCAGGAATAAGCTCGGGTCTTCTTTTTTCTGCATAAAGAAAAGGAAAGGAATTACCTGATCTAACGGTATATTCTGTGCATTATAACTGGTAACGTATCAATGATATCTGGTGCAAACAACTTGAAGTAAAACAAAAAGAAGTTCTTTAATGCAGTTTATGTATTTCATCTCAGAATTCAGATTTCATTTATCCTTAATGCATTACAGACTCTCTTTCTGTTGTGATTCAGATGACCAACTGGTCACCACATGACAGATAAAACCTTTAGGGATGAGTTGAGCTACGAATCTAGAGATGTAATTCTCCAGGATATTGGTGCTTCAGACTTACCTAGATCTACCGATATCTCATCAGGAACAGAAACTTTCAGGTGCTAAAACAAAAATGCAAACAAAAAGTGAAACAGCACTAAGGATTTTTTAAGATGTATATAAGTACTGTATAAAGTAAAGAGACACAACGTGGATACCTATTTTTACAAGCATATTCATGTATAAATTCATTTATTGGGTTCCACCCATCCAAATTTCACAGCTCTGGAATGTTCTATTGTTTAAACTTGAAAATAAGGCCTTTTCCCAAGGATCATGCTATAAAGGAAATGGCTACAATCATTTTACTAGATGACTGAATGCTCTGTGCCTGACTTATTCCTGGCTTTGGCTTTCTAGAATGAATGAATATTGGCTTTGGCTTTGTAGAATTACTTGTTAATATAATCAGTTATACATCATTTAAATCAACATAGGTAAAACCTGAACTATGTGTGTATTATCAAATGAAAAATGTACTCAACTATAACCATGATTTTCATCTGCTATATTTGAGATACTCACACTATAGAACATGGTATTCCCAACCATGTTCCTATGTAAAGTGGAAGAACCCTCACAACAGTCACACTCCTGATGAGAAGGTATTCTATGTCAATGTGGAGGCTTTGGAGTCTTAAATCTCCAGTAACTATCTCTAGTTCTCACTATCGAACTAACTAAGGTGACTGTGTCATAATTTACTTCTTCTTAGCTAGGATTTTTCCCATAATAACTACAGTTTCTGGTCCCATTACCAAATAGTTGTGTTTTCCTTCCCGTCAATTTGGGAAATGTCTTGGAAAAAAAATATTATTTTGCATTTAGAGGAAACATCTTAACCTTTGCATGTTGACTTTGTATTGTACACCTACTTAAGTCATATACTTCCAGAATTCAAACAATTATTATAATATCTAAAGTTTTACATTTGAAAATAAGTCAATGCTAAAAATTATGAGACCTCTATTCATTTGAAAGAACAGTGAAATGGATCTTGAAGCTTTCTCTTTAACTGAAGTTGCCACACAGTAGCTCAAATCAACTTTCCTGAAAGTATTTCTAGCACAAATGCAAAAAAGTACACAAAGGTTCACTTCTATATGTAGGTATTTACATGAAATAAATATCACCTGTGGCATAAAAGAATAATTAGCAAATCTATCAGGGTTCTTACACTTTTATATTGATAAACTTATATAGATTATGAGCAGCAAAATATAAAGTTTTGACTGAGCATGGAGCTCTCTTAAGAATTGTGAAATTCAAACATACTTCAATATACTGTCATTTCTTCATGGAAGCAAATTATCTTAATATCTTTAAACAATGGCAGTATAATCAGAACCCTAACTAATTTATTCAATAAATATCCAACGGCCACTCTGTACCAGGATCTATTTGGTGTTGGAGACACAGGACTGAACAAACGGTACAAGAACATCTGCCCTAATGGAGCTTATGTTTAGAGCAGAAAAGTAGAAATAGGGACAAACAAATAAATAAAATATTAAGTTCTATGAACAAAAATAACACAGGAAAGGTGACAGAAAGTGACAAGGATGAAATTTTAAGTACGGTGGTCAGGGAAGGCCTCATTGAGTAAGTCACTGTATTCTGCGATGTGTAGGTGCGTAGGCAACTTTGTAAAGGAATACAGAGAAAACGGGGCAAGAGCTGGAGGGAGCAGTGAAGCCAGAATGTGTCTGTGTGTGTTTGCTGGTTTTAAAATAGGAGAACTAAGAATGTTTGCATGCTAATATGAATGAGTCTAGAAAACAAAAAGCTGATGCAGGAGAGAAGGGGGATAATTGCTAGAATAACATCTTTGAGGAGGGATAAAGAAATACAATCTGGGGAAACAGGGGAAGAGCTGGCTTCAGATAAAAGCCAGGACAATCTCTCCATAGCATCAAGAGAAAGGGTAGAGCATATGGGACGATGGAGGTAGGAGATATATCTGGTAGAAGTTCTCCTCTGTAAATGTTAAATTTCTTAAAGAAACAGCAAGGTCATCAGCTGAGAAAAGGATAGGAGAGGAGGTGACGGAGGTTTTAGAAGAGAGAAGGTGTGAAACAGTCATGTAAGAGAATTGCAAATGTGAACATGCTAGGGATATGCAGCCTGATTACTCAGGAAGCATTAAGGCTCACTGTTATTATCCTATTATAGCAACGCTAATAGCAAAACTTATTAGTTTAAATCCCTTATTAAGATTTCTATTTGTAAAATAAAACACTATTATCATTTAAGATCTTTTCCACCACTTTTTATTTATTTATTTATTTATTTATTTATTTATTTATTTTCTGGTGAGGGAGTTAGCCCTGAGCTAACATCTGTGCTAATCCTCCTCTTTTTGCTGAGGAAGACCAGCTCTGAGCTAACATCTATTGCCAATCCTCCTCCTTTTTTTCCTGCCCAAAGCCCCAGTAGATAGTTGTATGTCATAGTTGCACATCCTTCTAGTTGCTGTATGTGGGACACGGCCTCAGCATGGCCGGAGAAGCGGTGCATCGCTGTGCCCCCAGGATCCGAACCCGGGCCGCCAGTAGCGGAGCTCGTGCACTTAACCGCTAAGCCACGGGGCCGGCCCTCCACCACTTTTTAGTTAAACTTGTGCCTCCAAACTTCAAAGAGGCCAACCAGACTTCAATTATGCAAAAGTATTATCCTTTGGATCCTGATTTATATATATATGTATCATTTGTGTTCTCTTTTTCACTCTCTCATCCTAATTATGCACATGCATAAACTCAAATATACACATATATCCCCTAAAACCTACTGTGAGAAGTCATATGCCCACAACTCATTTAAAAATGATAAAAAACAACAGTCAAGAGTAATCAATAATTGAGATATAATATAGATGTCAGAAAGCACGATAAAGTCCAAAAACCTGGGAGGGAAGATTGAAAGCACGAGGCCAATGATTCAATGTACTAAAGCAAAGATTATAATATTAACTTGGTAACTTACCGCAGATCGATCCAGGAAGAACTGATGAAACTCAAGGAAGACGCGACGAGTCTCCTTGGAATTGGTCTGTTTATACAAGTCTGAATAGAGATAACAGAGCTGCAGTAGAGAAGGAAATGGAAAAGATAAGTGAGAAGTCATAAAAAACATAATCTGCTAAATCCTCAGTGAGTAGGAATGTTTGGAACAAGTAGATCACCATAAACAATGTAGTAATTATCATTATATAACCAAGTCTTTAAAAAAATAAATAACATTTTAAATATATTTCATATCTATCCTTACATATTTAGAGAACTGAAAGAAGTCTGTCCATTCAGCTTGCAGAAGTGAAAAGTTTTACAGTATATGAATCAATGTAACAGCTCTGAATTGGCTAAATCGTAAAATACATTACCAGCGTTGCAGGGTCAAACTGTGAAACTACATGGTGTAAGAAAACAGCCAAGTGAGCAGGGCGAGATTTTAGCAGTTCAATGCTCTGGAAACAGCTGCACTGCCCATTGATCTAAAAAAGGAAATAATTATATATCAATAACTCCAATAGAAAAATGCAAAATGTAATGTGAGCTCAATTAAACGTAACTATCCAAATTCCACTTTGATTTTATCCTAAAAAAATTTAAGATTTAAAATATTTCACTAGAATTTATTAGCAACAGGCTATGGAACCTCTTCCTCTGAAAATTAATAATCTCTTGAGGATAGGTTGGAAGAACGACCATCTTGGGAGAATGCAAGTTTAGAAAATGATTATCAAGGAGCTCAGATGTCTAAGGAAGGCTTTTTGCCTCATAATGAAATAGCTGTCTTCCTTTTCTTTTGGGCTAAGTGCAGAAATAGTGGTAGGAAATGGAGTTGTATGATTTTAAGTAAAGCAACTCCTAGAATATTTGTATATTCCCTAACTACATTGAACACAGAAAACAGTAATAGTTAAACTAAGGTAACCTAGAATCACAATTTCCAAATAATCTTTTACACATTTAAATAAAAGTAGAGAAGAAAATTAATCTAAACAAATAACACCAATTCTACACAATCTCTTTCAGAAAATACAAGAGAACACTTCTCAACTCATCCTAAGAGGCCAGCATTATTACTCAACTATCAAAACTAGACAAAGACACTAGAAAAAAAGAAAACTAAAGACCAATATTCCCCATAAACACAGATGTAAAAGTCCTCAGCAAAATAATAGCAAACTGAATTCAAGCAATATATAAAATGGAAAATATATTATGACCAACTGGGGTTTATCCTAGGAATGCAAAGCTGGTTCAACATACTAATATCAATCAATGTAATTTATCATATTAATAAGAGACTAAATTAAAAAAACTATGTGATCATCTCAATTATTCAATAAGATTCACATCCATTCATGATAAAAATTCTCAGCACACTAGGAATATAAAGCAACTTCATTAACCTAATGAAAAGTATCTACAAAAAACCTATGGCTAACATTATATTTAATAACGAAAGACTGAATGCTTTCTCCCTAAGATCAGGAATAAGGCAAGGACGTCCTGTCTCACCAGTCCTTTCAATAACTTGTACTACAAGCCCTAACCAGTGCGATAAAGGTAAGAACAAGAAATAAAAACATGGCTGTCTGTTTAGAAAATCCTAAAAAGTCATTTCAAAAAGTTTCTAGAAGTAGTGAGCTTGTTAGCAAGATCATGGGAAACAGGACAAGAATCATGCCAATAATATTCCTATATACCATCAATAAACAACTGCAATTTGAAATTTAAAAAAAAGGATTAACAATAACACCCACTTCCCTCTCCAAAAATGAAATACTTAGGTATACATCAATGACTTTTTATCAGCTTTAAAAGCAAAGTCATTTGTATTGTTCAAAGCTAAAACAAGCAATTAATCTAAGCAATTAACCAATTAACCTTAGTTCTAAGATTTAGCTTCAAATCTTTACAAATATAATTTCAATCTCCAGAAAGTGTTCATTTTGTAACAAACCAAACATCTCAGAAAACTAAATTTTTTTTTTAGAAAAGAATGTCATCACCTGTTCATGTTCAGTACCAAAATCATCATCCTCTGCTCCAATAATATGAGGTGCTATACGGGTTGAGGGACTCCCGATAAGTGACTGAGTATCCTGGTAACATTCAGAGAAAAGGAACAGAAAAATTATGTGGTGGTCAAATTGGGAGAAAGAATAACGCCAAACCATCAAAAAAGACATAGTTCACTAAACTGACTGGATTTCTTTTTATTTACTTTCTTTTAAGCAGTACTTTATTTTCAAAGTGGTTCTCAAATTTTCAAGGCCATGTACCATTTTGGCAAAGAAAACGACAACAGTATTGATTGTTTCTTGGGAGGAAAAAAACATTTCCCCTGGAAAGAACAAACACCCTTTGCTCACTATACCCTTGGTTATCTGATTCTAATCATTCTCTGTGTACTTCATTTATTATTTCATGCATATCCAGATCTTGTTACAGAAAGAAATAAAGTTGGCTTACATAAACAGTTACAATTTTAAAAAGTTAGATATTAAAAAGTGAATGAAGGCAACAGGACAAAGGAAAAACAAGAATAGAAATGATAAGACAAAGCAAAGAGGCTAATACAACGATTTCTATTAATATAACGTAACTGAAAGCTGTCACCAACCCCTATTTTTTCATTTTTAATTCATTTTCATAAGTGCATAACGCAGGGTTTTTCAACCCTGGCACTGTTGACATTTTGGGCCAGATAATTCTTTGTTGTGGGGGATGTCCTGTGAATTGTAAGATGTTTAGCAGCATCCTTAGCCTCCATCCACCCGCTAGATGCCAGTAGCAGCCTCCCTGTCACGACAATCAAAAATGTTTCCAGACATTGCCAAAGGTCCCCTGAGAGACAAAAGCACTCCTGGCTGAAAATCATTGGCACAATGCAATAAAACTTTCAAGTAATCACACAAACATTGCTAAAGAAACAAGGATAAAATTGAAAAATAAATTGTACAATGGCAGATCTCATTCCCATGTAATAGTTCATCCATTTGTCAACTCTCAAAGTTGGATTTAGTATGAAAAAGGCAGTGTAGAGGCATTAATGTATAATGTAAAATATATAGGATGCTTGAAGACCACAAATACTAGAATCAAAGATCATATAGAATTAAGAGAAATAAAACTTTGGGAAGAAATAGGAAAAGAATAAGTTGGGCTTAAATCTGACAGCAGTTGAAGACGCAGGGTCTGGAGTTAAGCAAAGAGAGTGGGGCTATAACAACGTGGGAGTCATCTGCGTAGTAGTTACAGTTGAAACCATGTACAAAGATCCACAAGTTATAAACTAAGTGAATAATATATAGCTGTAGTTTTTCCTCCTTAAGTGTATTGCAACGCGATGTATTTGCACCTCCTAAACTTGATTCTGCCTTTTTTACTACTTATTTTTAAACCTCAAGGTTTTAATAATTAAAAAAAAATCAGGTGAAACAACAGAAATTTGTTTAGAGTAGTAGACAACTTTTGATTTTACAGCTGATTCAATATCTCTGATTTTTCAATAGTCCTACTTGCTAATAATGGATGCATCACAATATGCTGTTAAATCTTTTACTATAAAACCTTATACAAGTCTAATTAAAAAATAAAATCAGGGGCTGGCGCCATGGCTTAGTGGTCGGGTGCGCGCACTCCTCCATTGGCGGCCCAGGTTCGGATCCCAGGCGCGCACTGACGCAACTGCTTTTCCGGCCACGCTGAGGCGGCGTCCCACATACAGCAACTAGAAGGATGTGCAACTGTGACATACCGCTATGTGCTGGGGCTTTGGGGAGAAAAAGGGAAAGAAAGGAGGAGGCTTGGCGACAGATGTTAGCTCAGGGCCGGTCTTCCTCAGCAAAAAGAGGAGGATTGGCATGGATGTTAGCTCAGGGCTGATCTTCCTCACAAAAAAATAAGTCAATACAGTGGAATCTATTAAAAATAAATAAATAAATAAAATAAAATCAGACTGCTAAAAGTATTCAAGTAAAAATACGCAAGATCCAGTAGTTCTACTTCTGAGTATATACCCAAAGAATTGAAAGGAACAACTTGAACAGATATTTGTACACTCATGTTCATAGCAGCATCATCCACAATACCTAAAAGGTGGAAACAACCCGAGTGTTCACTGACGGACGAATGGATAAACAAAATGTGGTATATACATACAATGGATTATTATTCAGTCTTAAAAGGGAAGGGAATTCTGACACAAGCTACAACATGGATCAACCTTTAAGACATTATGCTAAGTGACATAAGCTGGTCACAAAAGCACAAATATTGTATGATTCTACTTATATGAGGTTCTTTGAGTAGTCAAATTCATAGAGACAGAAAGTAGTATGGTGGTTGCCAGGGGCTTGGGGGAGAGGATAATGGGGAGTTAGTGTTTAATGGGTGCTGAGTTTCAGTTTGAGAAGATGAATTCTAGAGATGGATGTGGTGATGGTTGCACTACAATGTGAATGTAACTTAATGGCAATGAACTGTATACTTAAAAATGGTTAAAATGGTAAATTTTATGTTATGTATATTTTACTACAATAAAAAAATAACATTAAACCACCTAATAATAATAACTAAATATGGAGTAGCTCTCCATCAAATCTTTATTAAGTTTCTTTAATAAGTTTAAGCTTTTTCTCAAAAAAAAAAAAAAAAAAAAGAATATATAAATATCAGAATATGCCTGTCACTTAAGAATAAGGAAAGCTAAAGAAAGCACTATCATTTCTTGGATTTCATACTCACAGTGTCCTGATTTACTTCACTTTTCTCTAGGTTTTCCTCTAGATAAATCCTCTCTTTCAGGCCACTCTTGGGACTCTAATGAAAAAAGACATCCAGTTCATTTCAATAAGTTCACCAAAAGGAGATCCATTCAGAATAATTTCTGAATTTCATACTTGTATTTGAAACTACTAAACACCTCTCATATAATACCTGGCTCTGCTACTTGTTTCCTGACTTTGACAAGTCACAGCTTTTTAGTTTTATGTTGCTAAAACAACATAGAACCAACAGAACAGTTTTACTTCATCTCTAGGCCTGAGGGCTAATTTCTACTAAATAACTCTAACTAGATATATTACATATCTCAAACTCATTACTCTCAAACTCAAACTCTCAAACTCAAAATTAAACTATATCTTTATCCATCTCCTCTAATCCCCTCTGTCCCAAACTATTCTTTCTATCCAAGTTAAAAGCATTTTGGCCTATTTATATGAATGAAATTAAGCTTCTATTTTTCTGTTACTACCTCATGTGAAACTAACATATGCATTTATATAAAATTTACATGGTATGTTTGGGATGACCTAGTAAAAATACAAACTATACGATATGCAGAAATTTGGAAGAATAAGGAACACTCCAAAGCAATGGGAGCCATTCTTCAGAGCAGCTGAAAATGAGGTACAAAATATTTTTATGTGAACGCCAATAGGAAAGATACATACTATCTATACATATACCAAGATACCACACGACAGAGAAAACAGCAGTTTCAAATACAAGGCCCACCTTGGAGAAATGGATGACTCTGGGTCTTGGACAAGAGAGAGAGAAGATAAAGCTAGAATAATCCTGTCACACCAAAGAGCAAGAAAGCTATCAAAGTTACTGGAGAGTCATGTCAAAAGAACACAGAAGACAACTTGAGGGGGCTCCCATTGGCCAAAAAAGGGACAATTTAAGCATTAAAAAGAATAACAACTGCAACAGACTCAAACATAATAAGCAAATATATTAAAATATATGAATTCAAAATATTACACACACATTCCCACATTGGTGACCCTTGGAGTTGGTTAGGGTATCAACTCTTCTGATTACAGAACTCTTCTGATACATGAAGGAAAAGAATCAAGTATTTATTCTGCATTTCCTATATATGCTATATTTTAGGGTAACCTAAAAGCTAGTAAGGGAAAAATTCTTCTTTATAAAATAATTCCATCTAATACAGAAGGACTGACAAAATTATAATATCATCCTTTGAAACTGCTCATTAAATAATGGATGCAAGCATTTTGATCATCAGTGGCAGGTAAAAACATTAGATAAATCCTTAATGGAGAACTTTATAATGAAGAAATCATACTGACATCATCTGAACACCTTAAACAAATTTACAGTCATAAAAAGACAACCAGACATTCACCTCCTAATGTGATGTAATAGGATATACACAGTGCCACCCATGAATTGTTCTTGCCAAAAAACAACTATCAAGCCTTAATCTGATCAAGACTCTAGATCTCACTATCAGTTTTCAGGAAATATACATAGAGGAATATGTTAAACAACATCATGAAAATATAATTAGAATATAGGTTGTTTTATTGGAAATATGACCCATTTTCTTTAACAAAAAAATGGGAAAACAAAAAAAGAGGAGAGAACTACTATATATTAAGAGATTTATTAACTAAAGGCTGAAGACCTTGACTGGATCCTGATTCAAATAAACCAAATGCAAAAATATCATTATAAGACAATTAGGGTGATCAAATTGCATATTAAGAAAATATTAGTTCTTAATATTTGATAATGGTATCATGGCTATATTTTTTTAAGTCTTCTTTTCTGTTATAGATGCATATTATTGAAATAATGTCTTGGATTTACTTTAAGATCATCCAGTATTCGGAGGGTGTGAGGAATGGGGGATATAGACAAAACAAGTTTGAGCACTTGTTGATGACTGCTGAGGCTGCGTGATAAGGTACATGGGGAGATGGGGGGATCATTATGCTAGTCTATTTTTCAATAGGTTTGAAAATTTTCCAAATAATTTTTTAAAAATATCAGCCACAAACTGAAAATCAGAGAGGCAGATGTTCTGAATTTTAGATGATGATTTGTGGTCAGGTTGCTTCTCTTGTGAGAACTGAGTATGTAGGTATTCTTTAAAGCCTTCTCTGAGGTGAGAAAAAGCAGGGAATTTTACAATGATAATGATACCAGAAACACCAAAAGGAGATTACTTTATAAAAATGAGCAGAAAATGGAAAAAAAATTAAAAGTATTGATTCAAAAGATTAAAAGACTGACTGGTTCCTACAAGCTTAATACAGTACAATTGAAACAAACATGGAAATCCATAAGCTAAAAGCAGCCCATCTTTAGCTTCAGACAGACACTTGTAGGAATTAAACTAGTTTGTTATGTGTTCAGTAAATATCCTAGTCTGCAATATATCATCTCTCACCTGGATTTCCACAATATCCATCTATTTACTTGGCCTTAGTTTCCTCATCTATAAAATGGTGACACTGTTTCTTCAAAATTATTACAAGAGTTAAAATGAGTATCTGTAAAGCATTAGGTACAACTGCTGACACAAAGTAGGTGTTCAATAAATGGTAACTATTTATTAGCCAATCAACACACATTTGTTAAGTTCCTATTAAACCAGGCAGTCTTCCTTCCTCACAGATCTCCCTCTCTCTTTACTCCAATTCGTTTTCCACACTGACATGTTTCTGATTGTGCCTCTCTTCTGCATTTAAGATAAAGCCCAAACTCCTTAGTCATTCATCTTTTGCTTCTTCAAATACTTATTAAACACCAATTATGTGTCAAACAGTCTTAATTCATTGGAATGCCTGTTTCTACACTTGCCAATTCACTCTGTATTTTATAAAGTTATATTTCTAAACCATAGATTTTACTGTACCATTCTTCTAAATATAAGATAAAAAATTCAAATTTTTCATTCGAATTACTTGTTCTGAATTTGTACAATCTGCTAGGCTTTGGAGACATAAAGTCCGATAAGACGGTCCCTGTGCTCTCAAGAAACTTTCCATGTAATGGTAGAGACAAGCCATGAAAACAGAGAGGAGAAGCAGCACTAAATCAACAAGGAGAATATGAGAAGGATTCCCAAAGCAGTACTGCTAGAACGAGTTGAAGCCCTTTATAACCTGGATTCAAGACTTTGTTTCTAAGATACACTCTAGCCGTGTCATCCATAACCCTAACATACCAGTAAAATTTTCACCACTTTCCCCAAATGTTATGTATTTTCATACCTCAGTGCCTTTGTTTATATTTAGAGTACTGGTACTCTGGAGCTAGGTAGAGGCAGATCACTTATTATCCGGGTAAGTTTGGCAAGTTAGTTAACTCCTTTTGGCCTCAGTTTTTTCTTTTGTAAAGTTATGATAACAATAATAGTACTACTGTTTTCACAATTAATTAAGATAAGGAATGTAAAGCACTTACTACAGCATATAGTACGTATGCCCAATAAATATTAGCTATTATAATTTTTTTGAGTCAAAATTGAAATTTTTCATTAAAACCTTTAGCCTATCCAATCATAAGCCTCCTATTACCACCTTTCAAAGAAAAATAAAAAATCCTTATATTTTCCACATGAGGAACTGAGTCATTGGGCCTAAGCGTCAAAAGGTGGCCTGAATGATGGCTTAAACCAGTGGCTTTCAATTATTTTTTACCGCAACCTTCAATAAAAGAGACATTTTACATTGTTAACCAGCACACACACATATATACATGTGCATATACACACAGCAAAAGTCACATGAAGTAAACACCTCTTCTACATGCAAAGCACTCTTATTTTCTATTCTATTCTTTTTTTTAATGCTAGTCCCAACTCACTAAATTGACTTCATGACCCACAGTTTTAAAAACACTGGTTTAGGGCCAGCTCCGTGGCTTAGCGGTTAAGTGCATGCGCTCTGATGCTGGCGGCCCAGGTTCAGATCCCGGGCACGCCCCAAGGCACCACTTCTCCGTCCAACGCGAGGCCGGGTCCCACGTACAGCAACTAGAGGCATGTGAACCTACGACATACAACTATCTACTGGGGCTTTGAGGGGAAAAACATGAATAAATAAAATCTTTAAACTATATTTAAAAAAAAAACACTGGTTTAGACTACTTTCTTCATCACTTTTAAAGAGGGTAATCTATCTTTAAGTCATTATTCTTATCATTGCATACTACTTACAAAGTATTGCTGAGTAAATAACACTGAACTTAGTTTTTAAGTATTCATATGACTATGGTGCTACATCATATTCAACTTAAAATATTTTTTTATCATCTCCTTAAATAATATCCATGTTTATATGGCAATTTCTGAGTTAATCAAGAAAGTGTTACTCAAAATGGGCTATTAACTGAAGTCTATCTAACAGGACTAAGGCTTTTCCTCTTCGTAATGGCAAAGTGCCCCATGATTCAAGACTGAGTCACTCTGACCACAAATGGAATATTAACACGCTCTTAAAGATATCAACAGTTGGCCTCTCGGTTCAGTAAGAAAGCACTGGCATTATTAACTTCTCTATCCACAAACAAGATGCCTGCTGGGAAATTCCATCTCCTCAAAAGAAACATTTGGCAATGGGTGTCCAAAGGAAAAAGTGAACTCTGGAATTAAAAGCTCATATACAACAGTGCCCAGAATTTCCGTTCATCAAATTGCTATATTAAGGATGGTGGTGATAAAAAGTAAGTAATAAGAGAACACCTCTAATTCACATAACTTAAGATCGAATCTAGAAAGGGGCTGTAGAGAAGGACACAGAAGATAAAGATGTAGAACACTTACATCTGCATTGTCACTGCCGTGCCGAGAAACATCTCCACTGCTATAGTCAATTCTGCCTAGTCCATCACCAGGATCTGCTTCTAACTCACTGACTGTTAGCGTGTCACCTAAAGGCTTGGAGGATGTAACTATAGCTCCATCCTAAAACAGATTAAACACACACACACACAAACATATAAAGAGAGAACTCTCATTATTGACTGCATAAATAAATAGAGTCACACTGCAATCTAAATGGAGACTGTTAAAAGTTGGCCAGTTTGATGTGATCAAGAATGCTTACAGCTCTAAATGTTAAAAGCATAAATAACTACTAATTCTGTGGTTCTAAAATGGCATGACCTTAAAGACCAGGAAAATAATATTTTAGTAAAGACAATAAAAGTTCAAACTTCCAAAGAGAGCAAAAAGATAAAATAGTTTGTTAAATTATATAATTTGCATTCCCTGCCCATTAGTAAAGATTATTACACTATATATAACTTTGAGCAAACTGCCTTCCAACACTTTAGAATTTCAATAAACTGCCAATTCTGGGACACAATGCCATTAACATAAATTATTATAAGCCTTTAGATCAGGAACCACATTTTTAATGTTTAGAGTAAGAATGTTGTCTTCGCTCAGTAATAACAACAACATAAAACTGTCAACATTCCTGAAGCATAATACTCAAAACTTCATATACCTAATGAGATTGAAAGTAATGAAAAAATAAATAACCTGTAACAGAATGTATACTAAACCAAAAAGTCAGGAGGCTTTACAACTGTGTGACCTTGTGTAAGTCATTTAACCAGTTTAGGCCTTAATTTTCTCAACTATAGCGTGATTTTTTAACTTTAAACTGAGCATATTAGGCTAGATGATCTCAAAGAATCCTTTTAGTTCTATGAATCTGTGGCTTTCACTTACAGACCTAACTCAGGAAGAATAATAAATCAACAGCTTTCACTCATTTTAAATGGTACAGGTAATTTGCCCATTTTGCTTTAAGATGAAGTATTAAGAAGTTTTTCATCTCCCAAATCTGAATATTATAGAATATAAATTTAGTTGACATACAAATGCTGGGCTATTTTTTCTGAGACCATCATCTCTATAACTTATACCCACATAGCAAATTCCATTGAAATCTGTTTTTAAATTACAACAAAAATACAGTCATTAAGAATAAGAATGTGCTTTGAATTCATCAGACTAGGTTTAAGTTCTAGTCCCACTGCTTTTGAGTTACATGACCTCAGACAAGTTATTTAATCTCTCTGAGTTTCTCTAAGTGTATATGTAAAATGGCGAAAAAACAACAGTAATATCTAATCTCAGAGGGTTGTTGTGCAGATTAAATAAGAAAATGCTTGGCCATGTATTTAGCACAATGCCTATCATTTTGTAAAATTTTATGTCACTACTTAAAAACATAGCCATTCTGTTTCAATGGCAGAATGAACCTCAAAAACGTAAATATATCTAAACATGTTTTAGTAGTTTGTCACATCATAGCAAAAGCACTCAATTCTTTTTAAAATTATTATGGAATAAATAAATATGATATTATGAGCAAGCAAACAATCAAAAGCCTATATTTTTTCAGTTAATCATTATTTCTGTAACATCCTGCACAGGACATCCTGTTGGCCTATGCTAGAAAAAATAACTTTCAAAAAAGGCAACTGCAACATTCTCTGACACATTCCCAGAAGAAAATTCTCCTGCAAAGAGTTGGGTAGCACTTTTAATAGTGATGCTACCTGAGCAGAGCCTGTGGCTTTGGATAACTGCTCTTGCAGCTGAGGAATGTGTTTCTTGGCCTCTTGGATCTCTTTTAGCAATCTTTGGGTAGGTGTTCGGTTGTAATCTTCCTGCAATAACTGAAAAGTTATAAAAATATTTTGAGAATTAATTACTTATGTCAAGAAAATATAGAAAAAGTCCATTCTTAATAAAATAGCTGATGGCACTCATTACAACACTGCTTGATTGTGATTATGATAAATATCAACTCAACTATGCCCACTCACGTTTTTATTGGCCTGTAAACAGCCCAATTTCTAATTTAGTACCTGTAGCCGTTCCTGTTCTTTCTGTAACATTTTTCTCAGAATTTCTACTTTCTGGTTATGAACCACATTGTTTTCCTCCTAGAAAAAGATAAAAAACAAACAAACAAAAAAGAACGAATACAGAGAAAGTGAAGCTATAATAAATAGCAAAACGAGACACAATATTATGTCTCAGCTGCAATTTTCAATCCTTATTAGGATTTTCTTTATTTCCAGCAGTTATGAGGACAGGCTTTTAGACGTGACACTTATAGATAAAAGGCTACAGGGAAATTTCAGCCCTGCTATTTCACTTTTACTAAACCAGGTTCAAGAGAACGTTAAATATTGATAATAGTTGGAGAAATGAAGTTGCCTTAAGTATAAGAATAATATCTTATACTTTCCCTCCTTTGGATCTTTACTATCAACCCCCATGCATGACTCAAATTCCCAGTACTTCCTACCTGAAATATTAAAACAGTTCCCTAACTCATCTCCTGCTCTCTCTCCTTGTTTCACAATCCTGTAATATTTTATCAAATTAGTCTTCCTAAAATCCTGTTATAACCACATTACTCTCTTGCTCAGAAAAATTTTAATGGATTCTTACTGCCTATCCAGTTACATGTAAACTAGCCTGGTAGTTCTGATTTTTCAAAATAAATATCTTACTTTTTTCAAGATCATTTTCCATTACACTATCCTTAACAGGCACCAGCCAAACAAGAGGCCTGGCTACTTCCCCAAAACACTTGGCGCTTTCTCGGCTCTTTACCTATGTTTATTCTGCTTTCTCTACCTGGGTTGCCTTCTTCCCCATTGCCACCACTTAAAAGTTACCTGTTTCTCAAGGCTCAACGCAAATAATAGCTTTCCTTAAATTCCCTCTCTATCACAACTGGATGTGCTTTCTCCCTCCTTTGAATCCTCACAGAACTTAATATTTTCCCCTTCATAACGTCTACATTCTGCCTTTGTATAATTACTTGTATACTCTTGATTCAATCTCAAACAATAAAAGTTTATTAAGCACCTACTATATGCCAAGCAATATTTCAGGCCCTGGGAATACAACAATAAACACAATAAACAAAAAAACCCTGTCCTCTTAAAGTATATACTCTAAGATAACTAGGGACCTTGAACATAAGATATCTGAAGTATATTTTTGTGGGCAGCACATTCCAAATTATTACATAATTTTTATATTAGGAAGTTATTTTCTAGAATTTTGAACTTATTTATCAGCTCAATACTTCAACACTCTTAACATAAAGCAAAGGTATCATACAACTGAGCATTTATAAAGAAGTTTTCCCACTCTTACCCCCACGAGCACAGGACTAGTAATTCTCTCCATATTCCCAGATGCTCCAGGTGAATGAGGGGATGTCATGATGGGAGACATATGTCCAATGACTGATGGCTCTACTTCAGAATCAGTGAGTGGAATCTGGGGTGACCCGGGTGGGCGTCCCTGAACAGTGAGAGCTACATAGGAACCAGCTTGGGGCAGGGAGAAGAAAGAAAGGGGAAAGAAGGGAAAATAACACTGTTAAAAAAATTTTTATAGCATTTCACTACTTAATCTTTGACAACTCTAAAAGATTGAGTTAAGTAAGAAAGTTTCATCATCTGCTAACCATTTCCCCATAGAAAAAGAATCTAATTTGTCATTTCTCTTTTATGATTCCCTAAAAATCTAAAAGACCAATGCCATTTTCAGATAGCAAATTACTATTCACAAAGATCAGATGTTACTTAAAAGCAAATAAAATTAATCCCAAGAATTTTTTTTAATTTAGAGAAGAATAAATTAATACCAACCATCTACTAATGACTATGTTCAATTAATTTCTTAAATGTAAATTTAAAAAATCATTACATTTTAAGATGATACTAATTAGGCAGGATTTAACTAATTTTCTGGAATATAATGATGCAATTTTAAATTAACTGTAAAAAGTGAGTATGACAAAAAATATCCCACAAAAACTGGGGGAAAAAACCTACCATAAATAAGTAGTAAGATTTAATTTTTAAAATTTGGAGAAGACAGAAACTCACTTAAGCATATTACCAGAAAAAAACACTACAGAAAGCAAAATTAACCATAACCAGAAAGACTCAACAACAGACATTCATTATTTATCTAGTATCAAGAAGAAATGAGACTGTCCAAACAAATGACTTTCCCATATAACTGACCTTTTAAACGGCAAAGTCTTTCTCTTAGACTTTCCAACAGAACTTTTAAATGTATTTCACACTTTTCTCCCAATTTAATCCTTCCATGGAACTCACTGTCAATTATTTCACACTGTTTGGAGTTCTAAAAACTATTTTCTTTCATTTTATGGTCACAAATGTTATGATTCGGGGGGATTTTAGGTATACACACTTTTTAAGGTTTTTCAGTCTTATTTCTCTCTGTCAGAAATTCATCTATTATATCTATCTACTTATTCATGTGCTTGCCTCCTTGAGCTTCCTAGATCTTCCCTTCCCTTCTTTAGCAATTTTTAAACTGCTTTGATTTAAAATCACTTTTATTATGTCTAGAACATGCATTAAAGAGTAGGACATGAGGGAGCTCTACTACAAGTATAGTATATAGGTTTTAGGCATTTAAAATTTATATCTGTTTTGGATACTCAGAGTGTTTTATGCTTACTTTAAGTTTTTAGCTAGGTTCTCATTATTGGATAAGTAATCTATTGCTATAGGCGTAGGATTTAGTTTTTTAAGAAAAATTTATATTGGAATGAGTAAAATATATAACCTAAAAAGCTAAAGAAATAATCTTATTTTTAATACTCTGTAATAGTTATCAGGCACATATTTACTATAAACCATCATATATATGTAGCACATAAAAATTTATAAATCACCATCTCATTAAATAAGTACTCAAATTTATTCAAGTATAGGGATCTCATGGTGATCATCACATTTCTTTCTAAAATGCACTGAGGTTCAGAACTGTGAACAAAGTGACCATTAGAGCACTGGTACTCTGATGAAAAGGTAAAGGAATTCATGGGTTGCTTTACTTAAGTAATAAGAAGGCCAAGACAGAATTCAGTTTACTGAGTTTATTCTAAAGATGTCCACTCAATGAAAAGAAATAGGAATAAATAAAACAGTAGTATTTCTGCTTGGCCATAAATAACTATCTCGTATTTGTAGTCTACTTTATTGTGAAATAGTCTGATGAAAAAGATTATAAATTCTTAACCCTGGCGATTTCCAAAAGAAGATCACCACTCTGGGTTATTTAATCATTTACTTATCTGAGGGAAAGTGATTATGCTAGATGATTTTTAAAGTTCCATTTCAGCTTATCCAGGCCATTGTGTCTGATTTCTCAACCTCTTCCCTCTGAGGTGACTCATGCATTTCTTTCAAATACATGCTTTCAGCATTACCAAGGATGACAAGGATATTATAATCAACCACATATATGAAGTGGATGGGAGATATTTATTAGTAAGTTAAAAATTTTCACCTCAGATTTTCCTTTAATGCAGGGGTCAGCAAACTCCAGCCAAAGGGCTAAATCCAGCCCACAGATTGTTTTGGAAAATAAAGTTTTACTGAAACACAACCACACTCATTCATTTACACATCATCTATGACTGCTTTTGTGCTACAATGACATAGTCAAGTAGTAGACCATATGGTCCACAAAGCCTAAAATATTTACTATCTGGCCTATTACAGAAAATAGAAAATGTTTGTTTATCCTCACTTGAGAGTTTGAGAAAACAATTAACACTGAGAATAACATTCACCTACATTTGATTAGCTTCACCACTTCCAAATGGTTTGAATGAGTCACCAGAGTTCCATTCACCTGTAAGAAAATGAAAGTAGTGTATGTCAGATACATTCTACTGAGACCAAGGATAAATTTATTTCAGGAATTATTATACATAATACAACCAATTATGATATAATATAGCACACAGGGCTATATTAAAATATGAACATATTTAGTTCAATATTAACTTTTATCACTATTCTGTAAGGTATACTTAGCAACAAAATGAACTTGAACACAAAACAAGGCCTTGATTTAAATACCTTATTCACCATAAAAAATGACAAAATATACCATGCAACAGACTTACAAATCTTTCACAGCGAAGGGCTCTTGCAAATAGAAAAGATCTCTTTGCTTTTATATTTTTTATTTTTTGTGAGGAGGATTAGTCCTGGGCTAACATCCGTGCCCATCTTCCTCTACTTTATACGGGACACCGCCACAACATGGCTTGACAGGCGGTGCCGTGGGTCCGTGCCCAGGATCCGAACCTGGGAACCCCGGGCCACCGAATCAGAGCATGTGAACTTAACCGCTATGCCACCGGGCCGGCCCCAAGATCTCTTTGCTTTTAATTACAAATTCAATTATTTGTCAAAATCATAATAAATTTTTTAAAAGATGAAAAAATAAGCAATATTTCCACAATAATACTCAATTTACTTTCAGTTTTCCAATCATGACCTAATGTTTACAAAGAAAATTAATTTTCAGACAGGCTAAATGCAGGAAATGTTATCCAAAGTCTCCACTAAACCAAACAAATTAAAGTAAAAATATCAAACATGGATCTAACATTACTATTATTTTTTCTGATGCAAGTAATATTAATTTTTACAAGTTCAAATATATCAGTGTATAAAAGAGAAGTAAAAGTATACTCATTATGCCCATAAGAGATGATCACTAATAACCATGATGTTTAACCTTTGAGACACTATTCTAGCATACACACATACAGATACACAGACACATAAACATATATATATAATAACTGCATTTTTCCTGCAAATAAATAAATACTTTTTTATTGTATTGTGGATATTTTTCAATATAGGTACACATAGACCTAATCCATTGTTTTTAAAAGCTGCAGATGAAATGCAATTTATTTATTTAGCCCTCAGTTTACGAATATTTAGACTGTTTACAAGTTTTCAATATGATAAAGCTGAAATGAATTTCGCTGTACACATACCACCTAACATTTGTACATTTATTTCCTTAGATAACTTCCTAAAAGCAAAGTTGCTGGTCAAAGGTTATATACATTCTTAAAGTATAAAACTTTTGATACATATTCACAAATTTCCATTAAAACAGATTTTACCTAATTTATACTCACAACAAGCTTATGAGAGCAGCCATTATACCATACCCAACTACACCAAATGTGTATTATCAATCTTTAAAATTTCTGACAACCAAATATATTGTCACCTATCATTTTAATTTCTACTTCTTTGTTATTAATGAGGTTGGACATATCCTCATTAATATATTATTTATTTCAATTGCTATGGGGACTTGCCTGATAAAATTCTTTGCTCATTTTTCTATTAGACTACTTTTTCTCTTCTTAGTAATTTAAAAGTGCTCTTTACAAATAAGGATATCATACTCTGTAATATGTTTCAAATTTTTTTTCCAGATAGTTCTTTGTTTGTAAATATGTTCATGGTGACTTCACCTGTATAGTAATTTGATTTTACCAAATCAGAATTAGTCAGTAGTCTCTAGAGTCATTACTGTCTAATCCATTCTTTCTCTACTGATCAGAATTCAAGGCCTGTTTCTAGATTCTCTATTGTGTTCCATTGATAGGTCTATATCTAGACTAGTCATTTGCTTTAAATTAATCCATACCATCTCACCTCACACATACCCATATACATAAAACATTTTTTTCTTTAGCTATTCTTATACCTTCGTAAAGTTCATTTGGAAGAATAATCCATTTGACAAGTAACGACACACTTCCCCAATTCTACTAGTATATTTTGATGAGAATTTCCTGCCCACAGATTAATCTGGAGAGAAATGATCTTTACAACGAGTTACTCTCCTATCCAAGAACATATATAACTCCATTTATTCCAGCCTTTTATTATGCCCGCCAGTAAAGGGCATAATATTAATTTTTAAATAAATGAAATAAGTTTTTATAGTCAACAAATCCATCATATATAATGCACTGCTTTTTATAAAAATCCAAGTGAAAAAAAATCAAAACATGGCTAATATAGGCTGTTTTTGAATTCTACCATAAATTCCATAATAATCTTTTCCTTACCTTGATGATTCGATCACCTGTCTGTACTCCAGCCCGCATGGCTGCTCCATCTGTAAGAGAAACTAATTACTTAAAATGTAATTCATTAGTATTCACTGATAATCTTCTTGAAAGAGAGGCAGTGTAACAAAGTGGTTAAAAACATGTGCTGTAAAGTCAGACAAACTGAAGTTCAAATCCTGCCTCTGCCACTCACCAGCTGTGTGATGATGGACTGATTTTATGTTTGTTTGTTTTTTTTTAACTCTAAGCTTCAATATCACCTATAAAATGAGGAATAAAAATACCTACCACAAATTATAGCACCCAACATAAAGGAAGTATTCAATATTTGGTAATAGCAGTAGAAGATATTATTATTGTCATTTTGGAAAAGAATGGATTATTTTTGAGCTTATAACCATTTCTTTGATCTGTCTCTACCAAGATATCTCTGGTGCCATGAAGAAATAAAATTCCACAAACTTCTATAAGTGATGATGTATAAAATATCATGACCAAGGAGTCATATGATTTCTAAAACTATACAAGAACTGTTTTTTTCCTACAAAGTACAAAGAAAATCAACTGGGGTAAATTAAACTCATGCCTATAACTATGACACTAAAGACAAATCTAGCACAATAGGCCATATGACCTGCAATGTGTGTGATTATTTTATTCTGGGCAATAGACATTATTTAAACTCTTCTATTCTTATTCTGTTTGCTCCCGAGTGACAAGACTGTTTTAAAAAGTGCCTTGCCTTCTTTGACAGACTGCACGAAGACTGGATTGTCTCCACTGACCGTCAGCCCAAATCCATTGTCATCCTTCTGGATGATCACACAACGTTGAACAAGACCTGCACAAGAACCACAGGGTAAAGAGAGAAGGAAGAGAAAACAGAGAGAAGAAAACAAGAATTACATATTAGTAATGAATTCTATCTGTATTCTATCTGGAGAAACACAAGGTAGCACATGAAATCCATATAAAAAATAAGAGGACTACCTCCAAAAACAAAACAAACACAGGAACATCACCAAGAGTCATACATATTGGTTTCTCGCTGGAGAGGTAGAGGAGAATTGCTCCAGGATTAAAAACAGCTATGGCGAACTGGGAAAGATGAGGTAGTAGAGAGGAGACAGAAGGAAAGCCCATTCACGTCTATGCTATTTATTTGTAACATAAAATCCTCCTCCGCTGCCCTGTATTTTTGGTGCTCTAATTGGTGTTTAAACCCAAGAAAATCAAACATTTTGGGAAATCGGGCTAGGAGCATCCCATGGTAAACTCTAGAAAATTCCAATCTCACTCTCAGGAAGATATACTCAGAAAAACAGACTATATAAATAAGGAGGTGTTTGCAGAGCACCTGAAGCTCCTCTCCCGAAAGGGAGAAAGGGAAAATATCAAAGGGAAGAAAGACCTTAGCTCACAGAAAAAATAAACAGAAAGGAGAAAAAAGTAGAAAAGATAAAGAACGAACCTATGAGCTCAACCAATTCTTTCATTTTTCATATACTTACCTGATTTCTACAGGAGAATTTGTTTTCCTTCTAGTTAAATGGTAAAAAAAAAAAAATTGTCAAGGCAAGGTGAAACAAGGAGACCACAACCAAAGGAACAGGGATGTCCCGTCATAGAACCCTGAGTAGTGCCCAGGGGTGGCTTATCAGAGACCAAGATCTGAAGATCCTGAACTCTGTGTTAGCCAAAGATGTAATATATTCTTTCAGTTTTGCAGAATTTAAGCATTTCACCAAAAATCAATATACAAAACATGTAAAACAACACAAGTATAATGATGATTAGAAAAATAAAAAGTTTTTAAAGATTTTTAGCCATTTAAAAGCCATGATCTTTTAAATAAGTCTGATGTACAAAAGATATGTCAAAGATTGCATATTTATGCATATATATATACATTATATTTATATATATCTATCTATATATATATATATACTTCTTGCTGTTAATGAAATGTCACAAGTGTGCGAGCCTACTACAGATGAAAGACTGGAATAACTGGATCCGAGTATGGAAAACATGAACCTCGAACATTAACTAATAACCCTACACAATTAACTTAAAGTAAATCATGGACCTAAACTTAAAAGCTAAAATTTTTCATAGGAAAATACAGGAGAAAATCTTCAAGACCTTAGGATAGGCAGAGATCTTTTAGAACGCACGAACCATAAAAGAAAAACTGATAAGTTGGACTCAAAATTTAAAATATCTGCTCTTCTAAAGACACTGATAAGAAAATGAAAAGGCCAGCCACAGACTGAGAGAAAATATTCAATACAAATATCTGATAAAGGACTTGTATCTAGATTATATTTTTTAAAAAAAATAACTCTATAATTCAATAATGGAAGACATTTTAAAAGAGACAAAAGATTTGAATAAACACATCACAAAGAAAGATACATCAATGGCCAATAAGCACATGCAAAAGTGGCTCAACAACTGCAGTCATCAGGAAAATGCAAATTAAAACCACAAAGAGATGCCACTATACACTAACTGGAATGGCTAAAAATAAAAAGACTGATAATACCAAGAGTTGACAAGGATGTGGAGCAATTGGAACTCTCATACATTGCTGGTGGGAGTGTAAAATGGTACAAACACTTTGGAAAACAGTTTGGAAATTTTTTATAAAGGTAAGCATACATTTACAAACGACCCAGCAATTTCAATCCCAAGAGAAATGAAAATTTGTGTCCACAAACATTCAGATCAGTTTTGTTCATAAGAGCCAAAAACTAGAAACAACTCAAATATCCATCAACAGATGAATGGATAAACAAATCCATGTATATCCATTACAAAAAAATACTACTTAGCAAGAAAAAAATGGCAACTACTCATACATGCAACAAACATGGACGAATCACAAAAACATCATGCTAAGTGAAAGAAGGCAGATACAAAATAGAGTATGTACTACATGTTTCCAATGTAGAACAGATAAAAATAAACTATAGTAACAAAAAGCAGATTACTGGTGGCCAAGGGGCAGGGTGGGGAGGAGGTGTGAGAAGAACTGCAAAGAAACATGAAGGAACTTTCTGGGGTGATGGAAATGTTCTATATCTTAATCAAGGTAATGATTACATGAGTATATTCATTTGTAAAAACCCATAGAACTGTACACTTAAAACAAGTGCATCTTATTTTATGCAAACTGTACTTTAAGAAAGTCGATTTTCAACATTAAAAAAATGTGTTACCCCTCAATTCTAGAGACTACTAAATACTAAGCAGTATTTGAATTCACAAATTCACCACTCCCACAAAACGGTAAATTGTAATGGGGGCAGAGGAAAGATAACCCATCAGAACTCAACCTTGTTCTTTTGCTTAATGTTGCTGCTTCCTTCAAGTAACTGGGAAAAACTATAAATAGAATGGGTACGAATACATAAAATCAAGGAAAAAGGCATTCTTTATAAATTTCTAGTACATAATACAATAAATATAAGAATCAGAGAACTTTAAAATATTTTAAGAGCAGTGTTTTACGGGAGTCTTTTAAAATCCATGCCCAGTTTTGGAAATATAAACATCTAATAACCTCCATTACAATTATTTGAAATTTCAAAATAAATTAGATATTGTGACTTTAAAATAAAAATCAAGACAACTGGAACATTGAATATTTTTTTTTTCCATAATATATCCATCCCTCCTAGTTCTCCCACTCCACCTCCCAAGAGCTGAAAATCAGTGAATTAAGGTTTCTAATACTGGTATTTGCTGTGCTAAGACACTGGGCTTCCTAAGTAGACTTTTTTTGGGTCCCTGTAGAGAACAGGGTGCTTGTGAAAAATGAGAGTGAGGAGTAGTGGGAGTGAAGAGTTTGCTATGTTTGTGTATTCCATTTGAATATAATGTACATAAAGTGTTTCGTTTACTGCCTGACAAATACTAAGGGTTCATAAGTGTTAAGTATTATTCTATTATGATTGGGGGTAAGTTGCCCTTGAATTTTCCTACTCAGAAATATATTACTCATCTACCCATGCCATCAATTAAAAACACTTTTGTGTTAACAAATTCCCATCATTAATGCAAATACTCCTTAAAAGGATCAATCCTCATTTATATCTTTATCCAAATTTTTTGTTTTGTTTTGTTTTAACAGACAAGTAAATCAGTTTTGGATGGGGAAGGAAGGGAGAAGGGAAATTTTACAGAGAAAAGCTTCTTGTGTTTGGTAACTTGAGAAGATGAGAGACCGCAGGAAGGCCTCAAAAAACAAATTCACCTCCTCTTGTAAGCTTTTCCTAAATATCCAGACTGGGTCAGGTGCCCCCTTATGGTCTCCCACTGAATCCTCTAATTACTCCCATAGTATCAGTATCACTCACAATTGGTTCATATTTGTTTTTATCCTCTCAGTAGATTATATGCTCCAAGAGTGCAGGGGCTCCATCTTGTCTACAATCTTATCTCAGTACTTGGCGTATGTTCTGGCACAGAAAGAAATGTTTAAAATTGCTAATGAATTAATGAAAATCGGAAAAGCAGAGGAGTCTAGAGATGGATAGAAGCTCAGAAAGTGAGGTGATCAGAGAGAAAAAATAAAACCACCACACACAGTCAATTTTAGCAAATATGCCTAGGGTTCTAACAGACTGCTAAGGATTGAATAAATATATTAGGATTATCTCAGAATACTGCAAACCTGTTTTCTCCAATTCAAAATTGTTCAGCATAACTTTCCCTTCTAATTCTACAACAAAAGAGATGAGGAATGAAGGATAAAGCAGAAAAGGAGAAAGAGCTATGTGCACATCCTGTTCATCTTTCTCCCTTCCCCAACCCCACTATATTGTCCATTTATTATTGTTCTAAATCTATCTGCTAATCTGAGAAGCTGATGTACTTTAACATAAGCATTACCAAATCAATACAAAAAGAAAACATACCTTACATATACAGCCAGTTCAGAAGCTATGGAATTCAAATTAATGATACTATTCTGTCCTATGAATCTATGCCATTTGCACAAACTTAGATTTGGGGTCATAATTAACTGCAAACTAAGCTGTCATACCATTCAAAATTCAGAAATCCAGTCTCTCAAATGCTTATATCTATTATGTTCCTTCCATTCAAAATCAAATGAAATGTTTTTCTTTTTTCTTGAGAGAGTTCTACTTATTGTAGACCTGAAGCTGTTTTAACCCATCACAGAGGATAAATTCCACCCTTAACACTGAACTCACCAATACTGACTAAATTATCATATCTTCGAAATGTCCTTTTTGACCAAAAAAAAAAAAATCCACTTCTTTGTTTTAGCAAATTTGTACTGAGCATCTGCCTACTAGGTATTTAACACTGCAGTCTGTAGGTGTGGTGAGGAATACAAAACTACCAAAAGTCTTTGCTCTCAACTTAAAATCTTGGCAGGGAAGAACAGAGAAACAAATAGGGAAACAGTGACAATGTTTAACTAAGAATCTGAGTGTGGTACAGATAACAGGCCCTATATGTCACAAAAGAAGGGAAAGATATAAGTGGACTCCTGACTCCAAAATAGCCATTTTCAAATTTCATAAATTAAAAAAAAAAAAACGCTTTTCATCATTTCACTTTTTCTGGTTTTTACAAACATATATAGTCCATGGTTTGTTTGTTGTTTGTAGGTTTGTTTTGCTAAATCTCTTAATGTCTGGTATAAAGATTATTAATTATAATGACCATACAAATGTGCTTCTCTCTGAATATGAGTTTTTATAAGGTCACAAAACCACTTTAATAGGAGCTGTACTCAAGCACTTTGTATCAAGACAGGCAAGGAGAGTGTTCAACAAGTAAGATAATGATAAGGCTTAAACT